ATTTTTGAAATTTAAGAATTATGATAATAGGAACAAGCAAACTTAATGTGAACATGCACTAGGACTCTTCTAAACATCTAACATAGTGATTGGTCAGAAGTTTTAACATTCTGACCAATCAGAATGCACTATTAGATACTGTTAACACCTGGCTTCCATACCATTGGTCAGCGAGTTTTGAGTTACTTCAACCAATCAGGTTTCAGTAGCAATGACTGCACGCTGAAAAACAAGTAGACTACAGTAACTATTATTGACCAGTATTTGCTTACTAGACTGTCCATCCTTTTTTTTTACGTTGTACTTTTAGTTGGTGTGAATATTATTTTATCTGTCGTGCAATTCACGCGTGCCTTAATGAACGACATATTGAGTTGTGATGAGGCTACTGCTATGCAATAACCCTTGTCTGTCAATAAAGTTTCTTACACCATGCTTTGATACACACTTGTCACTTGTATTTCTCTAAATAATTTAATGAATTTCAAACATAGAGTAGTGTTAGAATAGAATTTCAAAGCCCTTGGTTGAAATCTGAGCCTGCTTTTTGTGTGTATTCACAACACTATTTGTGGTTACTTTTTGAAGCCATTCTTTAATTGAACAAAACTTGTAACAAAGAAAACTGTAATATCATATTAAACTTTTATTGTTTATATAACGGAAGGCAGAAATTATAGAAGGAATCTGACTTGAAGTCTCTGACATGCTGCCATTTCACCCAGCCGTTCTGCTGTAAGTCTTGGGGGTCTTGGACTGTACCATGGTAGTGGGGGTCCTAAAAACATACATGACTGTTACAACACTAGTGCTACAAAGATTAATATTATACAGGTTAAGCTACATGACAACTTTTCTGATTTCTACAAGTATACTTCACATAAAAGTAGTATGTGTATGCTTGTGGTGACCAAAGATTTACAAACGCATACAAAATTATTTAACGTTCTTCAAAGCATTTGTTCAAATAATATGCAAACAGATGAAAATATTGATAATTTTGTGATATAAGGTACATGTAACTTTGCAATGACTACTAGCTTTGGGTCACAGCTAGTGAATTTGAACATAAGACGGCTCTATAAAAATGGTTACTGAATACTTACTACAATAAGGAGGTAAGAATCGTTCCCTGTTCCACACACCCCAAATATGCCTTTGGACGAGTTATCTGTATCTTCACCTGTATGCATTGGGGAAAAAGGTCAATTCAGAATCATCACATCTTTTGAAATGACAGTCATAACATTATATATAAGAGAAAAATGTATTATATATTTTTTCTTATATCCACATACAAATGTATTATACTAAATATCTACATGCAGTATTGAGTGTGTTTTAATCTATTTCATCCTATGTTTTGATTTTGTTTTGGTCTCCTTCCAAAACTTTTAAAGTATTGTCTTTGTGTCACCAACGGTTTAAGAAGGGTCATGTATGCATACACGTGACATTCTTTTTGGTCATAAGGTCATTTAAGTGTCTTTTTTTTCTGTCAACATCTTTCATAGCCATGCTTTCATTTTCATAAAGTTGACCAAGGAGGTTATAGTCTCTACTATAACCTTGACTTCCCCATGGAACTGTTAATATTTCACAGTACACTAACAACCAGTTTGAAACCAAGCAATTTTGCCTAGAGCTAGATTGTAGAGCTGTTGTTCACCTGTCATTTGTCAAAGGTACATTTAGAATCTTTGAAATGCTGTCCTTCCAGGAGGGTTGAAAGGACACTCATTGTTCTGTACACATTGTTCTGAGTCTTTTGTGTACGTCTACAAAACAGCTTGTCCTTGATTCTTGGGCTCTTTTGATCTCAGGAGATGGTCTGTCCTTGATTTAAGAGGATTCTTGAAAATCCAGGATCAATTCAGCCAGATGTTTCTTAGTCTTAATCTTTTTTCTTAAGATAAGAACATCATAGATTATTTTAAAAATTGATTACGATATAGTCTTGCACTTTAGTGATACAAATTATGCGCATTTTGTTCAATACTTCTTTTATGGTTTAGTGGTGAAGAGTACTAAGTATATGTGGTACATGTATGAGGCCCTGCAAGGGGGGGGGGGTCCTGACAACTCTCTACGCTGAATTCGGAAACCTCACGATTACGCTTTACGATAAATTCCAAGTGGCTACAACGCATTACGTAGAATTAAAATGCCAAATACACTCTATGTAAAAATATTAGAGTGGTCCGTCTACGCTCTACATAGAATTAAAATGGCCGATTACTAGTACGCTCTACGGAAAAGGGCTTGCGGGCCCCCATGTATCTGTATAAGCCTACGTATACATGATTGTATAATCATGGAGATGAAGTTAAAACACACTACCACACTAAATAGTAGGTTTTTAACATCACATCAATGTCCCAGCTTTTAAGACATGCAAAATTTCAGGTTTCTAACTTTATTGACCCCAAATTGCAGTCTTTGTCTGTAAATTGCAGTGTGCAGGTGGTATTGTGGCCCTGTAACTAGTTCATAGTTCAGTTCATACAATGGGAAGAATTGTCTGCGGGCCAAAAAGGCTGTGCTAGATGAAGGAAGGCACATTAATCATTCTGACTTGAAAGACTGAGAACAATAGATAAAGCTTCTGGGACATGCCTGTCACGTTAGAAATTAGGCCTATGTTACTCTCACAGAAAGGTTTTTGTTATTCTTCTAGAGCTTTCATGATTTCATGAACATATAGTAAATTTTGCAAGCCTCCGTAGCAGGCTTATGGAACTGGGGGTTTAGTGGTCTTTGGCTGATTAGCCCAGTTCTAAAAGGGGGGTAATTCAACCAGACTGGCTATATTGTCTACGTCTGGTATATGCAATCAGAAAATAGCACATAAAAGCTCCCAAAGACCCTGAAGACCTCCCAAACCACCAGTTTTTGGCATGCTATGGAGGCTAAAATTTTGCCCCATTTTTAAATGTTGATGCACTTTTGATGAGCTTTTTGATGTGGTTTTTATTTTAAAAAATCATCTTAACAATAAAAAGTTCCCTTGACCAATGCATCCAATACGAGTACACTTACTAGTACTGTTATCTGTGATACAGATTGTGGCAGGAAAACTGAACATATATTCTGTAACCAAAATAGAATTTGTTACTGAATTTGTCAATACCTTACACATACAACCATGTCTGTTTGGTTCAGTGATTTTTATTTACATGTATGCTGTCTCAAACCTACATCCTGATGATAGCATTGTTTATGGTATTGCTAAATTTGAGAGCTTTTTGTGTCAAAGGACTGAAATGTAATTAAAAATTACGAAACGTTGACAGTCTTTAAAGATTTGGGCTATTTTCTGAACAGCTGGAAAAACATATAGTGGAGTTAGCCGTATCAATATGCCAGGCTTGTACAACCATCAGGCTATCTTGCATTCTTTGATGACTATCTCTGTTGTAGTATGCAGCATTGTGCTTGAGTTTACCCTAGGCTAGAGGCTTACAGGTACAATACATAGCCTATTTATGGGTGACCAGAGAGTAACAGAAGTTCACGTTTGACACAATTCTTTAGTACAATAGAGATACAAAGCACATATTCACAGTGTCATGCTTTTGCATGAAGTCAAGACTATGCAGAAACTGCAAAAATGAAACCACTGCAAATGTAAACATATTTACGGTATTGCTATAGGTGACAACCCACCTATCTAAAAGAGCTTTGGATTTAGACTTTGGAGTTAGGGAAAGTTGACCCGCCAAAACAGATGTCAACATGAATGGGAAAAGGAAAAGACTAATCCGGTGGCATCTTTCTGTAGTTTAGTACCTGGAAACATCTGTGAAACACACCTGTACTTATATAATACAGGTGGTCAGGACAAGACGGCTTCAACCATCCATTATACATTACACATACTTCCTATTGACAATAAGATACATCAATCATAAATTATGCAGGACAGACATTCCTGGTCTTGGGACAGTTTCTTTGTCAGCACATGATGTTTCATCAGTTTAGAAAAGGGCACAAATGATTTTTGGAACTGCATCATTAATAATTGAACAGACTTATGTAAGAAACTTTGCCGATAAAATTGCTTTGAGACTGCACTCTGTCTACACTCACTTTGTGACCCTAAACCAGCTGAAATTCATGTATAAATCCAACAATTCTTCTTTTTCTTCAACTTTGTGTACCAGTGCTGTTCCAACAATTGAACATACATCAAGAAATCTACAATTTGAGCTCATGTGTCATGACATTACAAGCAACATGGACATGCATTATATAGAAATCTTGCAAGCAATAACTCAAAAGCAAAAGTCATTATGTTGACAAGAATTTTGTCACTTTCTACATTTGCTTATCATCTAAAAGAGGAGGTCTAGTCTTATATAATTTGAGCCCCTTTACCATGACATACATGTACAGCACAACAATATGTTGTGAGTGGAAATACAGGCACGTTTGTTAATTTGTAATAATACCCTCCTTACTAAATACCATGTTACTTTCTTGGCATAATTCCTTTGGACAAACAATTCACTTAAGATGGCAAGCAAGGACACAGGCAGCACGGTTGCCATAGCAACCTATCTTAAGGAAAAGTGAAGATGAAAGACTCTATGGCCAACAAGAAATCCTATTGTTCTGTTATGAGGATAAAGGAATTTATATGACAGCCAAGAGGTACATGTACATGTATCATATCTGCTACAGGGCTTGAAATACCATCTATGTAATAGTAATACTATGCAGATTGGTGCAGATAAAATTGGAGCTTTGCAGGTTTTTCTGATGTCTACCTGCACTGAACAATGTACCAGTGCAGGTATGCAGAAAGAAGTATTCTGAGCTCTGTACTAATTTTCAGGTTTATCTGTCTTAGGCATCAAACCTCTGCATGCTAAAGAACCCAGCGAAACACACTACTATAGAGTAGGGGTAGAGGGAATGCCAAGGAAAAGCTAGCTGCACTGCATTACTTGCTACCCCTAGCAGGTGAGGCAAGTACTGCAAGCTACTCCTGCCTGGCTAATATTCTCACACAGTAGTAGTGCTTGTAACATAGCACTGACATACCCTGGCAAACTCACCCATCATAACAGGAGACCCTATACTCCTGTAGTGCTCTGTCAGCTCTGCAATTTTGTCTGGAATTTCACTGCCACTGTTGATATGTACAATCTTACAAGGAACCTTAAAGGATCAAAGAAAACATTTGAAGAAAAAAAAATAGTTTTCAGTATGGAGTATATTCCAAGAAATGCAATGCATAGCAGAATTATTAGTATTATTAAATATTAAGAAAGAATCATTCATAAAAATCATTTCAATAGTACAAAATGAAGAGAACCAATGATGTTTACAATTTTTAACCTTGACAGACGTAAGAACCACTTAATTCAAAAATGATGTAGAAAGTTTAATATCTATGCAATGTTACAAGACTCACATCATAAAAATAGTCTATACAGAGGCCAACTTCCACAGATCCTATCCAGTCCTTGGACCCTGCAAAGCTTGCCGGCTTGTCCTGCATTTCAACCAGTGCCTTCTGGATGTCTGCTATAGTCGGAGGGTGTCTGGGGCTGGCAGAAGTCTGTTTCTGTTGGAAGTGAACCCAGGAACAGAGAGACTGCAGAGTTCTGTAGGCACAGCCCCAGCCCTGGAGAGGTGAACAGAAAATGATTGAAAAAATTTGAATATAAAGCTTGATACCTTCCTTGCAGAATGACAGACGGACTCAGAATATGACCTTCAAAACAGTTCCATGTTTTTAATATGTTTGGACGTCCTCTTTGTATTGGACTGATTGAGTAGAATGTGACCCAAAATTCAGCTGTGAATTTTGCGTACGGTCAAACTACAATGTGAAACGCTACCGTTAAATGGGATATATGTCTGTAGAGCTTTAATCACATTTATATTGTAAAATCTAGGTTCGTTTTTGATGGATTTTCAGTGTCATGCACAATAACAAAAGGCCTGCGCATTCACGTAGAACAGTTAACGTTAACGAACTAAGGATAACCCTGTTAACGTTATAATCTAGATTTAGCTCCTTGATCTTATCAGTTATGGAATCATATATCTAACCAAAAAATTGATGTCTGAGAATCATCAAATATAATCTACATACTTGCATCTCACTGTTACATACGTGAATACAATTTGCCATGGTCCATGAATAGTCTTTTAAAGGAGCTACTCGAAAATGATCACTATCTGGCCAATCTTGAGTGGGAGGGGGGCAAACACGACTCTAAAGAAAGTGTCCTCACCCGATCCTCTGTCCCGTCACAGACATAATGGTAATACAGATAGTCTCCTCTAACGGTTACTGTTTCTCCAGAAATGTTACCTGGAGGTGGCAAACCTTCGTGGACGTTTTTGAGGAGAGTTTTGTGCATTTTGTGATCAGCAGACGACATTTTTGCGCTTTTCCTTTCAAAATGGGTCTTATTTGACGTGTTGCATGACGGGAAGGATTAAGCTGTTTGTACTAAACATTTTGCTGCCTTAAGTTTTGAATGCAACATATGCAAGAATGTTTCCAATATACCCATATAATACAGTATAAATATTCACTATAGGTATATGAATATATTTTATTTATTCTTTAAGGGGGTACGTTTCGTCGTATAACTTTTTATTTTGAGGAATTTGAAGGCAAAACTTATTCATTACAAAAGACAGCTCTCGTAGTTTGTGAAAGAAGAAATACGGAAGTAGCCGATCATGTCACTGTTTAACCAGTTGTTGACCAGGTGGGTTTTCCGGACTTTGACCAGCACCATGTCTCGGTCAGCTAAACGTGCAAAGGTCGCAGATACGTGCAGCACAGGTCACCGGAACTTCAATGCTACAACAACGGGAGCCACGTTTGAACAAGTCAAGAGAAACATGGCTACGGATTCCTCAAGACAAAGAGAAGTGGAGATGTCCAACTTTCGAGCTCCGGATGTCATAGCTAAGAAACGAGACGGTCAAGCTCTCAGCAAGGAAGAGATCCAGTACTTTGTTAAAGGGGTGGTCAGCAAAGAGTTTCAAGACAGTCAGATCGGTAGGTTTACTCATATTTGTTTTAGATTAGGGGGCGGGGCACACAGTGTTTTAATAAAGTTAAAACTTGTACTGTGTCCCAAGGGAAAATAATGTTGAGTTGTCTAAAACTAATTGTATGTAAAGCTATCGTCTGTATGAAAGGGTCAAGGCAATGTTGTCACCTGCATTTGTGTCTTTTTAAACAGGATAACTAAAAAATTATCATGAAGTTTCAGAACGTCATTTTATCATTTGAGGCCATAGGTTTAAAACATGGGAAGAAGTGAATAAACTCTGTCAAAGCCATTATAAAGACCTGCATCTAGTTCTACAAAATTTTAGTAAAATGAGTGAAACTAACACCAGTTTATTACACATTTTGATACCTTCCTGGTTGAGGCTAAAGGCATTTTACTTGGAACCTGGGTGTCACTTTCACTTCCAAGGTTTCACTTTCACTACCCCATTTGAATCATCAGATTTTTAGGTTTCAGTTTCACATGAATTGATGGTTTCACATGAGGTAGTGGTTTGTGAGCATGAAGGCTTTTAAGATTAGAATGAGCAAGGAAATTATACTACTAAGTATTCAAATGAGTTTGTATCACTTTTGGGGTTCTTTGGCAGAGTTTGCCCAAAAGAAAAAGTAATTAAATTTTGGTCCCCCTAGCAGCCTGTTCTGAAACTGCAATAATAATGGTTTTCTATAAAGTGTTTTTTTCCTATTTCGAGTTGGCATCAACTAGTACCGTAATTAACAAGATAAACAAAGAGGATCATCTATATATATGTACTTAATTAATCAGAATGATATAGGTTTATGATTGTTCTTGTATTTCACATTGTATTTGAAATTATGTGCCCTATGTGTTTTCTCCTTATATGTTGACTCTCTAATATCAGCTTTGCTGCCTTGAGAGTCAGTGTAATGTCTTGTTGCATTTTTCAATAAATAAATAAATAAATGTTTGACAACAGTATGATGTATTTATTCACTCACAATTCCAGGTGCTATGTTAATGGCCATCTTCCTGAATGGCATGAACAGAGATGAGACCATCACACTGACTCGAGCGATGAGGGACTCAGGGAGCACGCTCAGTTTCCCCGCGGAGTGGGCGGGGCTAATCGTGGATAAACACTCCACGGGCGGGGTCGGGGACAAGATCAGCCTGCCGCTCGCACCCGCGCTGGCGGCCTGTGGGTTAAAGGTCAGAGGGCACTGTCTAGTAAGGTCAAAAATGTTGGTCGAATATAAAGTCTGACACCACTTGAATATTGTTTATCTATCTTGGTATAAAACAGGTGAAAAGACTGACAAGCAGCAGGTCAAAAGGTCTGACACAGGAAATGGGGTGGACTTGAGAGTAGGTTGACAGCACTTGTGTGTGTGGGAAAGATAGACAGGCAAAATAATTGGAGTTCAAAAGGTCAGACACAGGAAATGGGGTGAACTTGAAGGTCATGAAAACACAGAATACTTCCAAGAAGTCTAAAATCTCAGATTTCTAAAAGTTAAGGTAGACTCCCAAGGACTTTTCAATATACTCATGCAGCTTCTTTTCTGTAAGACTATATAAAAGGTCTGAAGAAACTATGCTCTAAGGCAGAAAGCACACCCAGTTCTGTGTATATCCTTCAAGATGTTAGTCTGCCTTCCCCAGGTTCCCATGATCTCAGGCCGAGGCCTTGGTCACACTGGAGGGACTCTGGACAAACTGGAGTCTATACCCAACTTCACTGTGGACTGTACCACTGGTGAGATGGGGGACATCCTGGAAAAGGTACACTACACTTAGGTCTTGATGAACCACTTGTATCAATCTATTTGTTAAGTTGCCTACTAGTAAATGACTATATAATACATTATTATCACTACTCCCATGCAGGTTGGCTGCTGTATTGTAGGACAGACAGCAGACATTGTTCCAGCAGACAGGATCATGTATGGTATCAGAGATGTCACTGGCACTGTCGCATCTCTACCTCTCATCACAGGTAAATTTTGTATTACTAGTACATTGTATTAACAAATTTCTTCAGTCAAAAAATGTTATACATTACCTTGAGTTATTTGCTAATGTATACACAAATGGAAAAAAGTGCATTTATTTATTTTTTCATTGTATGGTGATATAAATTATTGCACTTTGTTCTGCCTTTTTCTCACAGCTTCTATAGTCTCCAAGAAGGCTTCTGAGGGCCTGTCTGCACTGGTGCTGGATGTGAAGTATGGCAAGGCAGCCTTCATGGAGACCCTGGACAAGGCTAGGGACCTGGCACAAAGCATGGTGAGTTTTTCTTTGCCAGGCCAATAAAAGACACGGAAGGACACAGAATTTGCACGCAACATGTACATAGGTGTAAGGTGTAAGGTGACACTGATTTAATTCTATGGATGACATTCGTGCAGGCATTGATTTTTGCAGGTCCGGCTTGTCTTAAAAGTCGCTATGTACTATCGCAAATTCACAATCCCAGCTTTGTATTCCTTTAGTTTAGCATCATTTTGGGGGGCTGGATTTTGTTTACTCACCCCGTGCACACTAGTTTGGGGGTCTTCAGATGATGTCATCCATAAGTCAGTGTGGTCTGATATAGAATGTTGTAAAGTGAATTTGGAGGTAGTGTGTGTGCCACCATGGTGCCACTGTGTGAAGGTGTTTTAGGAGAAAAGACTCTGATTGATTAGAATTTTTACATCTCTTTACATTTTTACATCATTGTACTAACCATTGTAAAACAAAGAAACAAATGTACTGTATTTTCCTTGTTAAGGTGTCGGCCAGCGAGGGCCTGGGTATGAAGACTGTGGCCCTGCTGACCAGAATGGACAATCCCATCGGACTGACCATTGGTAATGGCCTGGAGGTGTGGGAGAGTCTATTGTGTCTGCAGGGAGAGGGGCCGCAGGATCTCAAGGAGCTGGTCTGTCAGCTAGGTGAGGAGGGATGAATGAATGAATGAATGGATGGATGGACAGAAGGACGAAAGAATAAATGGATTAAAGGCTTCAGTACCTAATAAAGGAAAGAATTGGGGAATAGATGAAAACATTATCAGTCTCATACACTTTACGAACAGTGTAAGAATTTGGAGAGTAGAAATAGAAAGACACTCCCGGGCCGGGGATTGAACCCACGCCAAACCCGGGCACCAGTTGACACCCCGATGCTCTAACCATTTGGCTAAAAGGTCTAGACCCATCAGCTGGATCAGTTGGTAGCGTCTATAAACCCCCCACTGTTACAACAGTGAGGTTTACACTACAGCAAGTTGCACTTTTGTTGTCCCAGGTGGCCACCTGTTGGCTCGTGTGGGTACTGCAGCCACAGCCTCAGAGGGTGCTGAAAAGATTGCAGAGAAGCTGAGCAACGGGGAGGCCCTACAGAAGTTCTGTGATATGATGGTGGCACAAGGTTAGGGTTTGCCTCTCTTTTTTTGAAACCAACTTTGCATTAAAACTTTGACAAAAAAAAACTTTGCATGTACATTGCATGTTAGACTATAATATAAAAGACTGTTCCCTTGATCATGTACATTTTCCAGGTGTGAAGCAGGAGACAGCAGAGGCACTGTGCTGTCCAGACACTGATATCTTCACCATCCTGCCACGGGCGCAACATGTGCAGGATCTCTGCTGTCAAACTAGTGGTGAGTGTTGTTACTGAGTAAAAGTAGTCCATCAGCCTTTTTGTCAGGCTGTAGGGGCTGTGCATTTTTAATCCATTGTATCTGGGACACAGTATTAGAAGGCAGAGCCCATCCCTCTCCTTCCACTGTCTCCTACTTCCCCAACTGAAGTCAAGTCCCCATTTTACACCCGGGTGGAGTGATGAAAGTACCTTTCCCAAGTCCAGCCAGAAATGGAAGGAGTTGAACCTGTGACCTCTTGATCTTGTGTACGCTAGCCTAGCCATTGGATGCCACCAAGTTGTCAGAAGCTATCATAGTGGTTTTTGCAACAGCTGTTGAAAAAATGAAGCTGCCGGCTGGTAATGCATATTACAGTATCTTATGCTGTATAGCCAAACAGTGAAATAAAGCTTCTTGTTATTTTCGTTATCTGCAGGATTCATCCAGTCTATAGATGCCCTGGAGTTGGCCCGAGTGTCGGCAGAGCTGGGAGCTGGGAGGTCAAAGGCCGGAGAAGCCGTTGACCCCGCGGTCGGGCTGCAGCTTCTGAAAACTGTAGGGTCAAAGGTCACAAAAGGTGAAAACTTCATTGTGAATACTAGAAATTTTTTTAGATACTCTGATATCAGTAAAATGAAAGACAATTTCTTGAAATGCACTTTTGTTCTTTTTCTAGGGGATGTTTGGGTCAAGGTTCATCACCAAGGAGACTGTGTCTCAGCCAATCATATCACGAGGCTGCAGAAGTCCCTTTTGATTGGAGGAGAAAGTGTGGAGGTCGGTTCCAGGGTCGCGGAGGTCATTCCTTAGCTTATTCCTCAGGAATGTAATAGTATTACAATATCACTACTTTTATATGAGATTATGGATATTATTAAAGAATAATTGTTCTTGCTTGTAAAGTTTACATGTAAAGAAAGGTTCTCAGATGACACCATTGATGTAACAACAACTTATCCAGACTTGTGTAATGGATACCAGTTTCAAAAGAACCTCCTTAGTTAAACTGGTCAACTGGTCTGTATCATATTTTTTAAGACAAAGAAATATGTCAGAGTTTAATCCACCTCTTATAATGTAAGCTTTTAGATAAGTTGGAGAAAGCATAGCTGCAAATATTACCATTGTTCGACATATATTTTCTTGAACAAATAGAAAATGAAGGAGAACTTACCTATTAGTATTTTCTTTAATAGGTGACGTCAAATATTAATTTATCCCAGTTGAGAAATTTGGTGAAGACTTGCTGAAAGGGTGCTTTTTGTATCACATACTGACATAGGAACTACTTTTTATGAAATGTAATTTTTTATGGTATAGCAATTGTCATAGCATGGTCATAGCAATCAATGTTATATTGGAAATGATATGTTAACTTGCTGCTGTAGTGGTAAAGCTTTATATTTGCACCTACATTTGGAAATCAATCAATCAATCAATCAATCAATCAATCAATCAATCAATCAATCAATCAAATGGTTTATTATTCAATCGACATTGCAGCACTACTTGCATGTAGGCTGAATTGTGCCCATTGTTACACATGTAAGTCTCATCAGATGCATCAGATCGAAAAAGTTGCTAAAATATTTACACATATCATAAAATCCACTACAATAAAACCATCGGTATTAGCTTTAAAAACGAAACATTTAAAATCCATGAACTATGTACAATATTAAATCCTAAATTATTTTCTGAAACAGTGCATTGATGTGTTGTGGCTTTTTCATGGGTAAAATACGAATAGTAAAATTAATGTAGATTTTCCTCAGATTTTTTTTAGTATCACACACCCCTGAAAAATAGTGGCACAGCCCAGATGAATGGTGACCTTTGCCCTCTGATGTAGTCTGTTTCTGGAGGAGATGAGATCGGTGTCCGAGAAAATGTAGACAAAAACCGTGTTTAAGGCCGTTTCTTCCGTGCGTGTTACCTGCAGAAGTAGGTAAGAATGGTCGAGTTACGTTGGGTAACAAGGTGAAGACATGAGTGTTGGAATTCCATGCTGCACGTCAACAATATAGTAAATTTGTTGGTGCGTCTGTGTAATTTATGGGGAGGGGGGGGGCGTTTGTTTCGGCCCGTTTGTTTTGTCGTTTACCTTGTTGTTGTCTCTCCAGTTGTGTCCACCTTTTTACTCCCACAGGAGAAAACAAGTGTTCTGATCAGACTTGTTCGCAAATTATTCGAAAGCCATCAATTTAGTAAATTATGATGCACGTTAAACCCGGGGGTCCCGATACCTGGTATCGGCGATAATTGCCCCCAGCTGGTCCTGGTCCTAGGAGGCTATAGTTATAAAGTAAGTTAGGCTATTGATGGTTTTTCCATGGGTTTACATAACAAATCGTTGTACCTTTTGGGGGCATACTAGTAATCTACTCTTGAAAAAAAGTCGAGGTTGTTGTTTAGGCTCCTGTGTTTTTGGTGGTACTGACATTAAAATTTCTACTTGCTGGATTTGGGGATAGCATAAACTTGATTACTATTAAACCTCCCACTTGGCTCTACTCCATTAGTCCATAGCTCTACTTAACTCTTTATGATGTGCATGTGGGCAACTTGTGGCTGACGTTACTGTTTCTTTTCTGTTTCCAGAAATAGGCATGGCTCTACCCCAGGAAGTAATGTTACCTCCTGACCTTCTACACCTGGGTCTGTCCCAGGATGTGACCTTGACCCCTGACTCCCTACCCCTGGGTCAGTCCCAGGACATGACCCCTGACTCCCGACCTCTGGGTCTGTCCCAGGACGTGACCTTGGCAGTTCTCCCCAGACTGTACATGGAGGAAGTGGTGTCTGAACTGGGCAGGAGAAACATCAGCACCGGGGACGTCCACAACAAGGAGCTGCTGGTGGCTGTGCTCAGGGTCGTCATAGAGAAGGAATACAGCAGGGCAGGGACGCTATATGACAAAGCACATATTGTTGTTTCTATGCCAACTCAAGGTATACAAGCTTTGATATTAAAGCTCCCACAAACATCACTGTTGCACTGGATGATTAGCAAGATGACCACATTTTCCTTTGATAATTTTCTTTTACTCTTTATTGAATGAAGACCTTTATTGTACATTTTTGCCCCACTGGACTAAGCGCAGGTCACACATTATACATATTCGAATACATATTCATATAAATATACATATAACTATTACATGTACATGTATATATAAATGTCTAATGTATTCTAGTCTTTTCAACTTCTTCTCGCTTCTTAGTAATTGTATAAATGTTCTTTATTGTTAATTCACAGTGACTATGAGCTCACAATTTTACTTTTTTTTTCTTCAAAATTTAAAACAACTTTTATGCAGGAAAAGAGATATCAGCTACACTGTGTGGACAGACACGGGTTGATGTTTCAGGACTGAGTGTAGCATCGGTCACAGAATCTGGTAAGGCTACACAAAGCTGACTTTATAAATAACATTCTGTAAAGCTTAAAGGTGACAAAATGTATTCTAGATCTACTGGTGTACAAACAGATAACTATGGTCTGTTTTGAATTGGCCTTTTCAAATGTTCTTTTTTGTGCCTCTGTTTTAGGAAAAGAAATACCAAAATCCCGAGAGTCAGCAACCACAGCACATCCTCATGTACCAAACAAACAACCTGTTCAACAACAGACTGCCCCTACCACAACACCTTCATACAAACCACAATGGATAACCCTTTCTCCAACACAAATGGAACAGTCCACTATGGCAGAGGTGGGCAACTTTGTTTCTATTGATGGAGGTTCCTGGACATCCTCTGAAGCAGAGGAGTTGGACATGGTACAGAAGCCACAGGTGAAAACTACAGTTTTTTAAGTTCAGAGAAAAAATATCCGTTTCAAAATTTTCTGCCAGAGAGTAAAATATTTCTACTTTCTTCAAATTTAGTACTTTTCACTTTGCAGTAAATACATGTAGTAAGTTAAGATGAACAGTGATAGTGACATGGTAGAAGCTTGTACTAACAATGCTGTAATAATTAGGAGCAAGAAAACAAAAGTTGATCTTTGTAAACTGTAATAGTTATTTAGGGTATAGAATTTTCTTCATACACAACTAGTAAGGTTCTCACCTGCTTACGTTTCGATGTCTATCAGACACCTTCCTCAGAGCTAGAATCTGACTGGAGTTCTGCAACTCGCCGCTATTTACCGCCAAAGTAGGTGGCGCTTTTGCGGCGAGAATGCAATCCCAAACGTGGGAACTGAGCTTGTATTTCCCCTCATCCCGGTTCATCACTGGGGTTGATTTTCTTATCCAGACTGCTTCTTTAATCCATCGGATTCTCCTGTTGTCCTCCCTATCTATGACCTTGGCTCACCTCCCAGTCTATCACACAATTGTTTCTGGCAACATGGTCTGTGACTGCCGATTTCTTCTCTTCTTTTTGTGCTTATTATTATAGTTATTGTCTTTTGAATATCTCTGGTCTGTATATTAAAGTAGCCTGAGTGCCATCTGATTTGTAGAGGCAACCCTGAAATTGGATGGCCCCAAGGCTACTGTATCAGTAGCAGAGTCTGCAGAGATACATGTATAAATATTACATGTACACTGTTTTCAATTTGTCTTGAAAACTGATTCTTTCAATGTTTTTTTCAGGGACGAACAAAGAAAGGTGGCACCAAGCAGCTGAAAAAATGTCCTCATTGTGAGTACACATCACTGAAGTCTTCTAACTTCAGAAAGCACGTCCTCAGACACTCCAACAACAAGAAACCATTCAAGTGTTCTCATTGTGACTATGCAGCAAGAACAAGACATCTTCTTCGTTCGCACACACGCATCCACACGGGAGAGAAGCCTTTCACTTGCAAAACATGCGATTTCAAAACAGCGCACTCTGAAGCCTTAAAGAAACACATGAAAACCCACACAGGAGAGAAGCCCTACATGTGTGATGTGTGCGGACACAGGACAGCTCTGGCTAATTGTCTACGCCGACACATCTCTACAGTACACTCCAAAGAACCACTCAAGTGTCACATCTGTGGATATGTGGCAATAAAAGCTTCCAATCTGGAAAGCCACATGAAAACCCACACTACAGAGTCATCATACAGATGCGACTTTGAAGGCTGCAGCTTTACGGCAACAATACAGAGGAATCTTCAGAAGCATCAACAGAAAGTCCACGTGAAAGAGAAGCCATTTGCCTGTGATCAGTGTGCTTACAAAACTCATAATAAGTACTGTTTGACTAAACACATGAAAACTCACACTGGTGAAAAGCCCTTTGCCTGTGACCAGTGTGACTACACATCAGTGTCTTTATCCGGACTCTCCAAACACAAGCGTAAACACACAGGAGAGAAAATCTGGCCGTGTGACGTCTGTGGTCGCAAATGTTTCTCCGAAGCCCTTTTAGAGAAGCACAAGGAACAGCACAGTGGTAAGAAGGGGCTACTTGTGTGCAAAGAGTGCAACTACAGAACATTCGAATCCCAGTCAATGAAAGAGCACAAAAGAGTCCATACTGGTGAGAGGCCGTACGCATGTGACCAGTGTGAATACAGGGCAGCTTTACGAGTAACCCTCAAGAAGCACATGAGGACACACAGTTCAGAAAAACCATTCAAATGTCCACATTGTGACTATTGTGCAAAGAGAAAAGATGTTCTGAAGAGCCACTTTAACTATAAGCATAAAGGTGAAATCATATCTTAATTCCGTTATTGACAGTACAACATTGACAGTAGTTACATAATGGGCTTTATGACACTGTCAATCTGTAACACAAACTATCCAGTCTCTAGAACCCATGGGGGACCAGATACTACTATTATACTAGTACTTACTAGTTTTAGACTACTGGTAAGAATGTAATTAGTACTCTCCAAGCAGAGGTTGTGGGGGAATGATCCTTAGCTTTTATTGTATGGCCGTTTTTGTTTTGTTTTTAGCTACCCCGACCCCTGAGTCGTGCATGGACCCTCTCTGGCCAATTGGATAGTGCTATTTTTGAGACCCTAGGATCTGCTTGGAGATTATGTAATTAGTACAACTTGATACAGGTACATTACCTGTAACATAGTGATTTTAATCAATTTTTGTGGTACAGTTCCAGTACACTGTGTATCGGTACACTCTCTATACAGGAGACTTGTTTTGTCAGTGATGTGTTAAAATGAAATAAAAATAAAGAGACACATTTTCTTGCCATCATTTGCTCTTCCCACACGACTCGTAGTTAAAATGCCCTTTGCTTCCAAAAAGTAATATTTTAATACTGAACGGATACTAGTATAACAGGTAGTTGTAACCTAGAACCCCTGAAGCATAGTGGTATAGCCCAGATTACTGTTGACCTTTGCCCTCTGAGCCCGCCATTTTCCAAGATCGAACTCACTCGTGGAAACAGACAAAACGACGAATTTACGGCCGTTTCTTCCGTTCGTATGATCTCCAGAAGTAGGTAAGAATGGTCTTATTGTGTTCAATAACGAGGTGAAGACACGAGAATGGTAATTTCCAACTACATGTCAACAAATTCTTTGGGTTTGTAAAATGGGGAGGGGGGCGTTTGTTGTGGAAGTGGTTTGTGGTACTTTGTTCACCACTCCTACCGCTGTTTGGTATTTTAACAAGTGAAATAAGTGCTTTAGTCATACAGGGTCACGATTCTTCAGTCATCAATATAATAATCAATGCAGGGTTACGTCTTACACACCGATTTTCATACTTATTTTTCAGACATAAAAATTATTATGTGACAGTTTTGAGCATTCAAATAATAAATAATGCATTTTTGGTAGTTCTGATTCTTCTCTAGATAATGAATTTGGCCTGATTGGCTAGGGTATAGCTGGCATGTTGTGACTGACATTGCTGTCCATTTCTGTTCCCAGAAATATCCATCATTCCATGGCCCTGTCCATGCTGTCCCAACAAATGACCTCGCTTGCTGACCTATCCCAGGATGTGACCTTGACCCCTGACTCCCGACCCCTGGGTCTGTCCCAGGACATGACCCCTGACTCCCGACCCCTGGGTCTATCCCGGGATGTGACCCCTGACTCCCGACCCCTGGGTCTATCCCAGGATGTGACCTTGGCAGTTCTCCCCAGACTGTACATGGAGGAAGTGGTGTCTGAACTGGGCAGGAGAAACATCAGCACCGGGGACGTCCACAACAAGGAGCTGCTGGTGGCTGTGCTCAGGGTCGTCTTGGAGAAGGAATACTGTGGGACAGGGGTGACGTTTGAAAAGGCAAACATCGTTGTTTCAAAGTCAAGTCAAGGTATACATTTATTATATAATGTCCTTGATTTATTATGTTTACCAAAGTAAAACATTGTTTAGCTCAGTTTTCTCGAAACATAAAAGGTCAATGACCTGAACCAGACAGCCTTAGGTGTTGGGTAACATCATGTTGCAATTTCGCAGCAGGAGAGATTTAGACATCTGTCACTGTATATATGAATTTGTTTGAGTATGAAGTATGTTATTATGTATGTTATTATGTAAATATAACAATAATAGAACAATAATGAATAATGAATGAACAAATTTGTATGAGCACATGATTCTTAAAAAGTTTAACTTTTCCACAGGGAAAATGTCAGCGACGTTGAGTGGACAGGCACGGGTCGATGTTTCAGGACTGAGTCTTGGATCAGGTGCAGGAGCTGGTAAGGCTGGTAAGGCCACCCAAACCTGAACTTGTAAATGGCATTCACTGATGGTGACAATATGTATTCTAACATCTCTGTACAGATGAACTGTGTACTCCACTTTGTTTTTAATGGAAATTTCCAAATGTTCCTTTTTTGTTCCTCTGTTCAGGAAAAACAACATCACAATCCCAAGAGTCAGCTACCACAGCACATCCTCATGTACCAAACAAACAACCTGTTCAACAACAGACTGCTCCTACCACAGCACCTGTACCTGATAGAAATGGTACCACCTGTACCCCAGCACCAGTCCAACAATGGACAACACCTGCACCTGACCAACAATGGACCGCCCCTACCACAACGCCTGCACCTGATAAAAAGGGTACCAGCTGTACTCCAACACCTGCACCTGTCCAACAATGCACTACCCCAGCACCTGCACCTGTCCAACATTTCACCACCTCCTCAGCACCTGCACCTATCCAACAATGGACAACACCTGCACCTGAACCACAGTGGATCACCCTTTCCCCAACACAAATGGTACAGTCCACTATGGCAGAGGTGGACAGCTTTATCGATGGAGGTTCCTGGTCATCCTCAGACTCAGAGGAGGTTGACATGGTCCAGATTCCACAGGTAAAAGTTACTGTAAGTTCAGCCTAAAAATCTGGCTTCTAGAAGTTAGCCTTTTTTCCCCTTCTTTTCATGCATCATACTTTGCAATAAGTTTAAACAGTAAACAGGGACAGCATGTACAATAACTGTTGTAATAATTAGGAGCAAAGAGACGAGTTGATCTTTGTACATTGGAAAGAGTTTTGTTTTTTCAGTCGTTATTGTCTATTGAACGTCTCTGCTGTATCCCTTAGTATGGTAATATTTTCATCATTTTCTTGCATCTTTCAGGGACAAACAAAGAAAGGTGGCACCAAACAGATGAAACAATGTCCTCATTGTGAGTTTACATCACAGGATTCTTCTAACTTCAGAAATCATGTCCTCACACACTCCAACAAGAAACCATTCAAATGTTCTCATTGTGACTATGCAACAAAAACAAGAGCTTGCCTTCGTAGTCACATGCGTATCACACAGGAGAGAAGCCCTACAGTTGCAAGACTTGCGATTTCAGAACAGCTTACCACACAGCCTTCAAAAGTCACCAGAAAACCCACACAGGAGAGAAGCCGTACATGTGTGAGATGTGCGGATACAGGGCTGCTATGGCGGCTTCTCTACGCAGTCACATCTCTTTGGTACACTCCACAGAAGCAATCAAGTGTCACATCTGAGGGTATGTGACAACAAAATCTTCCTTTCTGGAAACCCACATGAAAACCCACACTGGAGAGTTACCATACAGGTGTGACTTCGAAGGCTGCAACTTTACGGCTATAAAACAGCGGGTCTTTCAGCTGCACAAGAAAGTCCACACGAAAGAGGAACCACTTGCCTGTGATCAATGTACTTATACAACCCACAACAAGTACAATTTGAATAATCATATGAGAAATCACACTGGTGAAAAACCCTATGCCTGTGACCAGTGTGACTACAGATCAAAAGATTCATCTGGACTCCGACGACATAAGTTCAAACACACAGGAGAGAAACTCTGGCCGTGTGAAGTCTGTGGTCGACAATGTTTTTCTGAAGCCCTTTTAGAGAAGCACAAGAAACAGCACAGTCGTGAGCAGGGGGTATTTACCTGCAAAGAGTGCAACTACAGAACATTTGATTGCAGGGCAATGGAGCAGCACAACGTAGTCCATACTGGTGAGAAGCCGTACGCCTGTGACCAGTGTGACTACAGAGCAGCTTTACCAGCAACCTTGAGGATACACATGAGGACACACAGTTCAGAAAAGCCATTCAAATGTCCACATTGTGACCATTGTTCAAAGAGAAAAGATGTTCTGAAGAACCACATCAAAAAGAAACATAAAGGTCAAATGACACCTTGATTACAGCATAGACAAGAGAGTTGCTTTGTCTTTGAGATGCAAGAAAAATAAAGATCTGCCATTTGCTTGTGCATCATCCTTTCTTCTTACTTGTATAACATACATGTATGAGCAAATGATCTGAGTGAATGCTGCAACACTGATTAGTTATGTTTACTGAAGGAAAACATACACATGTATTGTTTTTGCTTAGTTTCTTCTTCCCCTCCAAACAAATTAGGTCAATGACCTGTGATACTAGCAGTTACTGTAATGAGTGAGTATTACAATAAAGTACATGCCATGCTCAAAATTGGTGTACAATGTATTTTGGAAGAATTCTACAGCATGGGCTGGGACTATTCCACGTTTTGACAGGGATGGACGCACAGTTATGCCATGACTTGTATTTAAAGACACCCTTTGCTTGCAAATATTGCTGAAAAAGTTACTGAACTGATTGTGTGAAACTACCCGGTGATAATACAGGAAGAGAAGAGTCAGAATCTGACACCCCTGAAACATAATGGTACAGCCCAGATCACTGTTGACCTTTGCCCTCTGAGCCCGCCATTTTCTAAGATCAGTCTCGTCGAAGCAGCCAAAACGACGTGTTTACGGCGGTTCTTCCGTTCGTATGATCTCCAGAAGCAGGTAAGAATGGTCTTGTTGTGTTCGGTAACACGATGAAGACGGTATTTCCTGCTATGTCAATAATATTTTTTGGTTGTATTTGTATAAAACATGGGGGAAGGGGACGTTTGTTTTATGCAAAAATGTAACGTTAAAGTTATGACAAATTAATTGGGCTGTTCCAAAAAATAACTGAGGATGGGGGGTTGATTTTGCGCCACACCTACCGCCGTTTGCTACTTCAACGAGTAAAATAAGATTATACTATAATCTAACAGGGTCATAATTCAAAAGTCGTCAATATAGTAATGAACGCAGGGTTATAGTTTTAACCGGATAACCGTTATATACCGATTTCATGGACTGTCGTATTCCTGACAGTTGGCTTCTTTTCAAATGCTTTTCTAGTGTTCAAATGCCTTTCTAGTAGTACTAGCTTTTTAGGATTGGTAGTTTCTGGGCGATGAATATGGTCTGATAGGTTAGGAGGTGGCTGATCTGTTGTGGCTGTGCCGCTGACATTGTTGCTGCATTTCTGTTCACAGAAATAGCCATGGCCCAGGATGTGACCCCTGACTCCAAACCCCTGGGTCTGTCCCAGGGTGTGACCTTGACCCCTGACTCCCGACCCCTGGGTCTGTCCCAGGACATGACCTTGACCCCTGACTCCCGACCCCTGGGTCTGTCCCAGGACGTGACCTTGGCAGTTCTCCCCAGACTGTACATGGAGGAAGTGGTGTCTGAACTGGGCAGGAGAAACATCAGCACCGGGGACGTCCACAACAAGGAGCTGCTGGTGGCTGTGCTCAGGGTCGTCTTGGAGAAGGAATACTGTGGGACAGGGGTGACGTTTGAAAAGGCGATCATTGTTGATCCAAAGTCAAGTCAAGGTATACATTTATAAAATTTGGTATTCACTGAACCTACTACAAACACCTACCACTGTAGCACTGAAAGAATAGAAAGATAACATATCACTAGGATCCTTTTTTGTATTATGTTATTATGTGTGATACAATGTCTTCATTTTGGGTACTGAAGTATATAATAATGAATGAAAGAACCATGAGTCTCAAAATGTTCTAATCATTTCCACAGGGAAAACAATGTCAGCGACGTTGTGTGGACAGAAACAGAGTCTTGGATCAGGTGCTGAATCTGGTAAGGCCACACAAACCTGATTTTATAAATACTAGTAACATTCTCTGAAGGTGACAATGTGTATTATCAATTACTAGTATCAAATATTGTTGTATACAAATGAACATTGTAATATGCCTTGGGTGTATTACAAAGTTCATTTGTACACTTCGATAATTGATGAACCTGTTTATAATGGAAATTTCAAAATGTTCCTTTTTGTCCCTGTGTTTAGGAAAAGCGACATCACAATCCCAAGAGTCAGCTACCACAGCACATCCTCATGAACCAAACAAACAACCTGTTCAACAACAGACTGCCCCTACCACAGCACCTGTACCCGATAGAAAGGGTACCAGCAGTACCCCAGCACCTGCACCTACTAGTATTCAACAATGCGCCACCCCTACCCCAGCATCTGCACCTGACCAACAATGCACCACCCCAGAACCTTCATCTGTCCAACAGGATCACCCCTACCACAACACCTACCAAAGGGTCACCCCTAACCCAGGACCTGCCCCAGTCCAACAGTGTACCAACCCTACTACAACACCTGCACCTGACCAACAATGCACCACCCCTACACCCACACCTGCACCTGAACATCGATGGACCACCCTCTCCCCAACACAAATGGTACAGTCCACTATGACTTTTCTTGTATTGTTACAATTTCAATACATCAAATCAAATCAAATTGATAGTTTGGAGCAAACTAACAAGTTAATCTTTTTAAAGTTGGAATAGTTTTGTTTTTCTTAGTCATAATTGTCTATAGAGTATTGAACATCTCAGTCGCCATAGTACAGTAATATTTTTCTTGGTTATTTCAGGGAGGAACTAACCAAGGTGGCACCAAGCAGCTAAAAAAATGTCCTCATTGTGAGTACACATCAGAGGATTCTTCTAACTTCAGAGAGCATGTCTTCAGACACTCCGGATCCAACAACGAGAAACCATTCAAGTGTTCTCACTGTGACTATGCCTCAAAAACAAAACCTGGCCTTCAAATTCACATCCGTGTCCACCACACAGGAGAGAAGCCCTACCGTTGCAAGACTTGCGGTTTCAGAACAGCTTACCACACTTCCTTAAGAGACCACTTGAAAACCCACACAGGAGAGAAACCGTTCCTGTGTGAGATGTGCGGATACAGATGTGCTCTAGCTTCTTATCTACGCCAACACATCTCTACAGTTCACTTAAAAGAGCCACTCAAGTGTCACATCTGTGGATATGTGGCAAATCAAGCTTCCTTTTGGAAAAGCACATGAAAACCCACACTGAAGAGTCACCACGCACATACAGGTGTGACTTTGCACGCTGCAAATATAAGACAACAACACAGAAACTTCTGAAGAGGCATCAGAAGAGACACATGAAAGAGAAACCATTTGCCTGTGATCAGTGTACTTTCAAAACCCACAAAAAGTACTATTTGAATAAACACATGAAAAGGCATACTGGTGAAAAAAAACTCCATGCCTGTGACCAGTGTGACTACAGATCAGCAAATTCAATCAACCTATTGCAACATAAGTTAAAACACACAGGAGAGAAAACCTGGCCATGTGACTCCTGTGGATACGAATGTTTTTCTGAAGCCCATTTAGAGAAGCACGAGAAACAACACAGTCGTCAACAGGAGGTACTTACTTGCAAAGAGAGCAACTACAGAACATTTACGTTCTTTCGAATGAAAATGCACAAGAGAGTCCATACTGATGAGAGGCCGTACGCCTGTGACCAGTGTGACTACAAAGCAAAAGAGCAATCAACTTTGAGGTTACATAAGAGTACACACAGTTCAGAAAAGCCATTCAAATGTCCACATTGTGACCATTGTTTCAAGAGAAAATCTGATCTCCAGAAACACATAAAAAAGCATTTAAAAAGAGACATAAAAGCCAATTGACATCTTAACTGCAGCATGGACAGGAGAGTTCCTTCTGTTTGAATGCAAGAAAAAAGATCCGCCATTTGCTTGCCATCATGCTTTCTTATCTTCTTACTTGTACATCAAATGAGCAGATAGACTGTAACACTGATTCGTCGATGAAGGTTAGACATCCAGGTAATACGATATGCCAAAAAACAGTTACTCAAGCAACTGTTACAAAGCGCTCAAACCTTCAGATCAGTCTAAGAAAACCCAGAAGTGCAAACCATTGACCAACAAAAACAAGGCCAACATCACTATTCCTCACTCAACCCTCAGACAAAGACTGGTACACCCTAAGGACCGACCTCACAAGGGTACCAAGGCGAATGTTATTTACAGACTCAAATGTGAGGAGCCCAATTGTAACAACACCTACATCGGAGAGACAAGTCGACCGCTTAAAGTAAGGTACAAAGAACATTGCCGACCTAGTGCCAACGGCTACTCCTCAGCTATTTTCCACCACCTACAACACAACCAGGGTCACTCTTTCAAACTCGAGTCCACGGATGTCTTAGACCGCGAAACACGCTGGTGGGAACGGGGTGTTAAAGAGGCAATATATGAAAGAATGTACAACCCCACCCTCAACAGGGAAGGGGGGCTACGGGTCGATCTTTCCGGCACTTGTGATTTGGCACTCCCAGCCCCGAGGACAGACAACACTTAAGCTCCTGTCCTGTATAACAGGAGCTTTCAGACTAATTTGCATCATCTTGTCTTGACTTGTCTGACTTTTGTTCCTTTTTCGACTTCCAAACATTTGTCTTCACTTTATTTGCATATCAATCAACAGGTTGTGTATATAAACCTGCTTTCCCCTCTGGTCTCTCAGTCACTGACGAAAGCTAGTGGATACTAGCTGAAACGTCTGACGTTTTCAAAATTGCCAGTTGCCAGTTGCTTGAGTAACTGTTTTTTGGCATATGTAACACTGATTATTTGTTTTAGCTCAGATTCTTCTCCTTCTCCAAACAAGATCAATGACCTGAACCAGAGGTCTGTCACCATGGAAACTAGTGTTGGGTTACATCATGTTGCAATTTTATAGCAGGAGGGATTTAGACTCCTGTCACCGTAATGTTATATAAGGACGTGTTTGAGTAAGAATAAACAGAGAAGACAACATGCAAATAAAACATGCATTTGCTTTGAGAGTGTTACCTTTCTAGTTAATGATGCCCTCACTTACCTGATAATACCGAGTTACATCTGGATTCTAAATTACTATTACAGGTACAATGTATTACATATATGTAGCTGGAGGAGGGATGTTTATCTAGACTTGAAATACGTACAGCATTCCAGATACAAGGTACAAACATACATGTATCTAAACCTTGCAAGATACGGAACAACAGATGGTCATAAGGGGGTTCGTAAGTACGACTGACCATGCATGGGTGTCAAAGTTGAATGAAAATAAAAACATCTTCTATACATGACCTGATGTTTCAATGGCCTCCCTCTTTTAGATCATTTGACACTTTTGGTGGAGTTGCAAATGTTTTCTTATTGTATATCAGCTGATAGTATGAATGACTCAGTACTGCATGAAATTATACAGGCCAATGTTGCTCAACATTTGTGTATTTGGGCAAAATTCTACAGCCTGGACTGGGACTATTCCACGTGTTGACAAGGATGGACGCGCACTCATGTTATGTCTCGTAATGCATTTTGCTTCCAAATATTACCTGTAACTGAAAAATTGGTAAATATTGGGGAAAATGCTATAATTTTGGACTATTCCACATTTATGGAGGGAGGGCATAATTATGTCATGATTAGGGGTGGGTACCTGTTCGGCTCTTTCAGGTCCAGGTCCAGGTCCAGGTCCAGGTCCAGAGGATCAGGTCCAGGTCCGGACCTGTACCTGTACCTGATTCTGGATACCGGAGTATCAGTACCAAATAATTTTTGCTAAATGATCATTGCTAAATGCTCAATGCATAAGTAACCACTACAAAATTTTTTTAAATTTATTTTTTAATTTTTTAAAATTTACTTAATATTTTCAAATTTATTTTATTTATTTTATCCCATTTTAATTTATTTCATCCGTTCTATACATTATCAAGCTTCTCCTCTACTCCTATGGCTACTAACACCTCAGGAACAGAATATATTAATATATTAAACTTCCCAACCAATCACATCGCAGGATTTCAATGTGCAGTCGCCCCCTCTAGCGGTTTGGGCCATATTGCAGGTTTAAGGAATCCAAGATGGCCGCCGCTCGGCTCAGTTTAGAGCCGATTCCCGAACTTTTCTTGTATTTTCCTTGGTATTTTACGCGATTCAAGCAAAGAAAACAAATTGACCACAAGAACAAAAGAGTAATACAGCCTTGGGAACATAATGGTCCGTTTTGTTTGGTACTAATTTCTCATTTCGAGTGAAAATTTATGTGCTGCACAGTGTGACCATGCCATGTGGTGTAAAATCAGTGATTTTTCGGCTTGATCCGAAGCAAACGCAGCCTGTTAAGTTCTCTTTTATGATTTCTAGATGACTATCGGTAATGTAAATATGGAGAATATTGTTGCAAAAGGAGGGATACGGAAACTAAGGTAAATTTCTTTTATTTTGATGCTGGATTTTCCTGGCTGGCTTCTTGTATCTAGTGATCATCAGTAACTACAAGTTTAGATTTTTGTTCCGGTCCAAAAAAAACCGGTCCACTGACGTTTCGGTTTTTCGGACCGGACCGATAAAATTTTTACGGTCCGAACCGGTCCACCTGGACCGGTACCCACCCCTAGTCATGATTGTTCTAGTATTTGAAGACACACTTTGCTTCCATATTTGGTCAGGGGAGATTATTTAGAGTCCATTTTACACCCCTGAAACATAGTGGGACAGCCCTGATTACTTTTGACCTTTACCCTCTGAGCCCGCCATTTTCCAAGCTCGTGGAAGACGAAAAACGTGTTTGAGGCCGTTTCTTCCGTTCGTGTGGTCTCCAGAAGAAGGTAAGAATGGTCTTATTGTGTTCGCTAACACGATGGAGACATGAGTATAATATTTTTGGACTTTCCTGCTACATAATTTTCAACAATTGTTGCCTTGGTGTTCAAACAAAGTGGGGAGGGGGGCGTTTGTTGTGAAACTCTTCCTACTTCTGTCGCCGTTTGGTACTTCAACGAATGAATGCACGTGTTCAGATCTTACTGGTCATGGTCTTAAGTCTTCATTTTACAAATATATATATAATAAGTTTTTCATACTAATTTTCGTCGTGTTTTTGGAAAGGCTGTGAGGGGGGGGGCAGGCCTACTAACAGTTATAATATGTAACGTTAACGTTACATAAATTATGTTCCGACAAAGAGTTAGGGTGGATAAACATCTTTGTTGAAACACAGGGGTGTATTAAACCAATAAGAGGTGTTTGTCTTAAAATAATTCTAAAATGACATACTCCCTAAAAGGCCTTCCTTGTCGACTGTTGCATAAAAAGTACACGTCAGGCTGTACTATATAATATTTTGGATAATTTACTAGCCTGAAAATTAAGTTAATTTCGGGCATACGTGTATATGAAATGTATGTAGAGCAGGTTGTTGTTTGGACTCCCTTTTTTCAATGTGTTTCTGGTAGTACATGTATTGACTAGTACTAGACAACAAAATCATTACTTGCAAGTTGCAGGGTGTCTGACTTCATTATTTGCTGGATTTCTATTCCCAGAAAATGTCCCAGGAAATGACTTTACCTCCTGACCCTCAACTGCTAGGTCTGTCCCAGAATGTGACCTTGACCCCTGACTCCCGACCGCTTGGTATGTCCCAGGACATGACCTTGAACCCTGACTCCCGACCGCTTGGTCTGTCCCAGGACATGACCTTGACCCCTGACTCCCGACCCCTGGGTCTGTCCCAGGACATGACCCCTGACTCCCGACCACTGGGTCTGTCTCAGGGCGTGACCTTGACCCCTGACTCCCAACCCCTGGGTCTGTCCCAGGACGTGACCTTGGCAGTTCTCCCCAGACTGTACATGGAGGAAGTGGTGTCTGAACTGGGCAGGAGAAACATCAGCACCGGGGACGTCCACAACAAGGAGCTGCTGGTGGCTGTGCTCAGGGTCGTCATGCAGAAGGAATACAGCGGGGCAGGAGGGTCGTCAGGGCAAACTCACGGCACCGACAGACACACATACGTAACAAGTAACGGTGCCACTGAAATCTGCTTCAGTTTTGAGCCAGAAGACACTCACTCAGAAGATGTCAGCAACAGTAATAGCTTACAGGAGGATGAAGTTGTCCAAACCGAACCTCCTGCCGTTGTCACATCTTACGCAGAGGAAGACAGAACTGTCAGCCAACATGATGATGAATCTAACACTGAGCTTGTCTTAGCATTGGATACATCTCAGGCTTTCAAACCAACTGACAATGCTAATAGCAGTTACACAAAAATAACAGAAGTGAGAGAAGGGAGAAGAGAATCAGACGTAGAAGAAGTCATGACAGTTGAATGTGGACCAGCATCAGAAACAGTAGAGGACAAATGTACGGACCAGTCAGTGTCATATGAAGAAGTTGACTTTTCCTGTACTTCTGCTGCAGAAATGTTAGTTTGGTTGCCAGGGCAGCAAGTGATCAATGGAGGGCAAGCTGTACAGGTGAGTAGTGTAATAATTCATAGTACATGTGTATGTGTAATAACATAACAACAGAAACATTGTGGGAAGTTTCAAATGGCAAGAATTGTACATAAAATGTAATGGTATTTTGGTCCATAATATTGCATGTACATACATGTACTCACTTGGATACATCACTTGAAGAAAGATATGATGTGATCAATTTGTGTAGATGCATATATTCTTTCATACATGTTCTTTATGTGTAGTAAAACTGCAACTATGAATATTTTTAGTGTTACCGCAAATTTGATGTCCAATTTAGATGTTTGAGTGCACAGATGGGATAAACCATTCCAAGCTCAAGAGAGTTAAAATTTTCTTTAAAAAACTAACTTTTTTTACAGTTTGCTGAGCAGGACACAAATGCTGAGGATAAATCGTACAAGTGTCCTCTCTGTGATTACACAACTCGTTATGCTTCAAACCTAACGAGGCACAGCCAAGTACACTCTGGGAACCGGCCCTTCAAATGTGTGCACTGTGACTATGCAGGGGGGTCCAAGAAGGCCCTGAGCCAGCACATGGCCCGGCACACTGGTGAGAAACCACTGGTGTGTAAGGAGTGTGGGTTCAGGACAGCCTATAGGACTGCGTTCGACTACCACCGGAAGACTCACACTGGAGAGAAACCCTACATGTGTGACAAGTGTGGGCACCGGTCTGCTAACAAAGCAAGCTGGCGTACGCACATGAAAACTCATTCCAAAGTGCCTCTTAAGTGTGAACGTTGCGAGTATGCCACATTTAAGCCATCCCACCTTGCTGCACACGTAAGAACTCACAATGAAGGTAAACAACCGAAAGGGCAAGACTGTGATGCCGTGGGAAGGAAGGAACTCCAGCCCCACACGAAAACGAACTCAGAGGAAAAACCATTTGCATGCGAAAAGTGCCCATACAAGTCTCGCTATAAAGCTGGCCTGGCGAACCACTTAAAAACTCACACGGGCGAAAAACCACACGTATGTGAGCAGTGTGGTTACAGAGCTGCGCAGAAGGCTACGTTATACAGACACATGAGAACCCACACTGGAGAGAAACCCTTTCCATGTACAGTATGTGGCCGAAGCTGTGCTACACAGTACCTCCTAGAAACCCACATGAAGTCTCACCAACCCAAGGAGCCCCTCGTGTGCCGAGACTGTAACTACAGAACCATGAACAAGGCAGACATGAACAGGCACATCAGAACTCACACAGGGGAGAAACCCTACAGCTGTGAGGAGTGTGACTACAGGGCGACCAACAAGTCAGCTCTAGTGTTCCACACAAGGATTCACAGAGGGGAGAAACCCTTTAAGTGTCAGCACTGTGACTACGCAGCAGTGAGGAAAGACTTGTTAACGGCGCATTTACTGAGACATGCAAAGACTTGAACTATTCCCAAAGTGAGTGTCTCAGTCAAGTGTGTCTACGAGTGCTCTGACTAGTGCAGTGACATGAGTCCCAACCTGAACCTAAACTCTGCACTTGAATCCGGACGTACCCTGAACCTGGGTTTAGGTACACAGCACTAGCTCTGACCATACATGCAGTATACATTGAACATCATTCAGTAGTGACTGTTCTATTGATCTTGGACCTGGCAGTTATGGGTTCGAATCCTGACTGTTGCTCCTCCTCTTATGCTTTTGGTAAGTAACGCAATTTAGTGCACTTAATTGATTGAGTTGTTTGGGTAAATAATATGGTTTAATACGCCAAAAAGCAGTTACTCAAGGAACTGGATATGATTTGAAAACGTCAGACGTTTCAGCTAGTATCCACTAGCTTTCTTCAGTGACTGAGAGACCAGAGGGGAAAACAGGTTTATAAGCACAACCTATTGATTGATATGCAAATAAGTGAAGACAAATTTTTGGTAGTTTAATACTTAAGTGCTAAGATTTGAATGAAAATGTGTCTGCATTGCTGATCTGTGGAAATGTGTTTTGTTATTTACAGAATAGCAAACATTTTTATAACTTCTAAATAACTTATATATTATGTACAGTGTAAAGGAATGTATCATACAGAATATGCACACTTCAAATCACATTCAACAGTAAGTCTGTTTATTTCTGTACAGATACATTTTGTTATCAAAAAGTCTTCCGAATACACAGGTTTTGTATGCTTAAGTCAACACCTAACTTATAGAGATTTAAATATTCAAACAACAACAATTTTACAGCTCCCACCATTTTTCTACAGTACTTCACAAAATAAATACATTTAATTTGTACAAGATTCATGGGTTCATATTTTCAAAGAATTTTTAAACATGCAGTCTTAGTGTCTTACCCTTGCAAACTTTAACATGGTTTCTACTATCAATTCCTTTTCCTATTTGATTTCCTTTATTTCTGTTTCTCTTTCTTCACATGCCGTAGCATACATCAGAAACAACAGCTAGCAAATGAAGATAGAAGAGTGTATAAGAAGGAAAAGCAGTAGAAGCCATGTGTAACAAGTAACAGGTAATAAGGCCACACCAAATTAATTTGTTTGTTCTTGGAATCGCCTCAAAAAAAATTCTGAATCAACTCAAATATGCTCATATTTTACCCCCATAAGTTGAACAGTCCTTTTCGTCCTAGTTGTTACAGTTTTTCCATCTATCAATGCAGTGGTTTTATTAAAAGTTCAAAATTCATTGTTTAGATATTGACCCAGCCTTTTGTGTTGACTTCATTTCTCCTATCGTAGCATTTGGGGCTGCAATAGGGTGCCTAGACCTTTATTTATTTTCGCCCTGTCGCTTCATATTTTTTCTGAGAAAAATCCAAGAATCAACAAATTAAATTGGTGTGGCCTAATCAAATATTTATGTCAAAGAGACAGTGGTCTTGCATATGTATGACATATACATGTAGCTCTGCTACTATGACTGATATTATGAGGTCTGAAATATCATAACATTAAGTTAGATATCCGCTTGTTTTCATAGACAAAGACTTAATGTTCCACCCAAAAATACAGATGTGTCACAATGATAGCGAATTTCATAAACTTTTGAAATAAACAGTTGGACAACACAGTTACACATTTTGTAACAAGGTACATTGTAGTTTAACCCATACCTCTATTGGAGAAGCATCTTTTGAATTTTGTCATACAAAGTACATTTTTGTAGCACAATAATAACATACATATTTGTCGCACAGTAACAAGTATAGAAGACACCGCAGATACAGAAATTAAAGAACAGTGTAAAAAGTTCCATTCCAAAACTAAGAATGATTGAATCATTTCATTCACAGCTACACTTGGTGTAGATATAACATTACTGTTGTTAACAACCTTTGCACATTATCTTACTGAATAAATTTTGTGATTTCACTGTTTTTGCAATAAGTTTTCTCTACAAGTACAAATACAATTTTTCTTTTCAATTCTCATTGAGATAGCATCCCTGTTCTAAACCGGAAAGAACACTGTATTATGATTCAAATATGATAATTTAGTGGCATGAATTAGTACTTAGTGATATCATTATTTCTTTTGCTGTCATAAGTTTACTTAATTTGGTCATATTTCTTTATTAATACAAAAATTTGTCTGAAAGTACATACAAATGGATGGCACTCATGTTGGTCCCATTTCTTTATCAATACAAAAATTTGTCTGAAAAAGGTGGGAAATATTCAGTTATTATTTGTTATGGAACATTTTCATCTATCCTCACAATAACTTACACATACATGTACATTCACAGTTGATCTAATACTTATGATTTTTACAGGAATCATCCAAAAGAACATTTGGCATCCCTAATTATCAATCCCTTACACTTACCCCAACCAGTACAAAAATCTGTTTTTGTCCCTTCTAAAAAAAGTCTTGACAATCTCGTAGCCACATACAAATGCACGTGTATATCTGCCAAATTAAATAGTTTTACAGTAAATAGCATATAGGTACATGTATATAAAAATACCCAGCAACTGCACTTCAATGAAGTTCCATCATTTATGAAAATACCAGTTAAACATATACTGTTATTGTATTACACATTTTGTATTACTTTTACAGGCTGCCTAGCTAACTAAGGTGAATTTGCATTGAAAGGAAGATTTCTCTAGAAGCAGTAAGCATGATAGATGGAAGTTTTCCTTTTAGTTCATGCCAATGTGATCTATTTGTGTCCTATGTCCACACAACCTTGACTTAAATAGGACTACAACAGGCTCAAACTTAACAATGGCAAAACAAAGACCATGCTAGTGGGAACTTCTAGGAAGACAAGGCTTGCCCCTGCTCTACAGCTGGAACTCAGGGGGCAGAGTTTGGAGCAAGTGCCTACCGTCAAACTTCTGGGAGTTCATGTGGACCAAAGCCTCACATTCGACGATCACATAGACCACGTAGTAAAGAAATGCAACAGGTGCATGGCCCAAGTGGGTAGGGTGAGAAAATCACTTCCGCGCAAACAGAGGGCAGCACTGATGCAAGCCCTGGTACTTTCCCACCTAGACTACTGTAGTTCAGTGTGGGCAAGTACGTCAGAGAAGAACATAAAGCGGCTGCAAGTGATACAAAACAGAGCTGCGAGGCTTGCCCTCGGATGCAACAGATCCACAAGCAAGGACGCTTTGCTGCAGATGTTGGGGTGGTTGCCCGTGAAAGAGAGGATTCAACAGAAAGACCTTTTGACTTTTCGCAAAATGATGGAGAACAGACAGCCTGTTTCCCTGTATAAACAGATCACGTTTCAGTCACATGGATACCAAACCAGATCAACAAAGTCACAAACTATCCGTCTCCCCAAACCTAGAACAAATGCTCAGAGAAAACGCTTTTTGTATCGGATGTCACACACCTGGAACACTATGAAATTGTAGAGGCATGGAACAATGTGCAATATTTAACTTTTGGAGAAATGTAAAATAGGTATTTTAGATATATGGCGGTCATGTAAGCTAGCTTTGTTTCTGTCACTTGGTGTTTTTGTGGAGTTTCTGTACATGTTTATGTCTGTATAAGTTATTTTATGTGTGTCAGGTGTATATGTTAATTGACCACAGGAAGAATAGCTGCAATATGAATTGTTAAGCTAATTGTGGATCTAAATAAACTCAAACTCAAACTCAAACTTAAATACAGATAACACCCCATTGAGTTGAAACTCACCTTGTCCTGTTTCCCCCTCCCAGAAAGATTTGTCACTCCCTTTGACAGAGGAGCTTTAATCATCTCCCATTGTTGACTTGCCATTGTGAATACATGAAGTCATTCCTTTGCCAAATTATATCATACAAATATGAGAGCATTGTAAAAGTGTACTCCGTATCATCGATGTTAGATCATGAGACATGTTATCTATGAAAAATCAAGTTTGTCTGGCTTTTTTATGAGGCAAAGAGACCACATTTGGCTACAAGTGGCAGCTCCTTCTATACAAATGACATCTATACAGTTTGTATGGCCTAATGTAGTGTTATGTGGAGATATAAACTCCTATTTCTTCAGGCCGTGCCACATGGCGACTGGTTGTCTGGGTTTGGAGATCATCTCCTTCCAGTGTTTAGTCTCCAGTGGGCCACTACGGGGGGCAAGACAGACCTGGGGAGGGGAGGGAGAAACTGTCAGTACCATAAAAATACAGAAGGGTTACACCATAAATTTTCTTCTTTCTTCAACATTAAAAGAATGACTTGAGAACTACCTGTAAGTGTTAAGAGAATTGTAGGAATCTCATACAAACTTAAGTTACAAAAGGCATTACTATCATTATTAAGGATAACTTTGACTCATATTGTTAGGTATCTCTTGCTTGCTATGTTGAATGTTGGACTCTTCCCTTCCAGTAACACACCAGTTTCACAGGCACGTGGCAGCCTGTCACACCTAATTACATGATTGTATAACCTTGTGTCATCTAACTGCAAGGGTGGTTTAAAACTATCAAGTGATGATGCCCCTACTGTACTTGCTAGCAACAAGTTCCACTCTACAAATACAATACAATGCAGCATTAGTTATAAGATAGTTATAGCAAAAAACAAGTTTTGAACACCTAATTATTTCAAGTACGTACGCTTATCCCTAACTTATTGATTGTCTTGGATTGTGTGTGTTGTTTTTTTTGTTATGTTTACCGAAGGAAAACATATTGTTTTTGCTCCATTTCTTCTTCCTCTTCTTCTTCTGTTCCAAACACTAACCTCTGACCTGGCCAATGGCCTCTTTTGTTGACATCTGTCACCATGGTAACTGGTGTTGGGTTACATACAATGTTGCAATTTCATAGTAGGCATTTAGGCTCCTGTCACCATATACCATGTACATGTATGTGAATGTGTTTGAGTAAGAATTAACAGAGCAGAGCATATCCGAAGGTAAACATGGTGCATTTGCTTTGCAAATGTTACTTTTCTAGTTCTTTTCTACGTTTTGTTTCTGCTACAAAGAGTTACCCTACCTTTCCTATGACATCATTTTTCTTGAGCGTGTCCTTGTCCATGACTGAGATGATGAAGCTTGTCTCCTTCATCTTGTCCATGGGGATGTCGAAGATGAAGGACTCGTTAAAGACGGGGTTCAAGGAACGCTTCTTACAAGACGTCTTCTTCTTCTCAATCTTCTTGTCTCTGTAGACGAGCCAGATCTTCACATAGGGGTCTGCAGAAAAATCAAACAGTATTAAGGTTGAACCAAATATGCAAATACAGGCTAAAAAGGGGTAGGAAATTTTCCCGACCAGCCTCGTAACCCCTGCTTCTCTTATTGGGTCAGTTAGTCCTCACTACTTGTGAGGATGTTTCTGACTCAGGGAGAAGAGTTGCTGTTACAGTTCTTACCTGTAGCTCTATGCCTAGAAGTGGCCAATGGCCTTGCATTGAGCGACACCGTTAAAAAAAAACAATTTGTAAAAAGTCTTTGATTTTGGACAGATTTGAAAAGTTTAGGCATAATCCCTTCTTCAGATAATTAAAAAGAAATGCAGAACAGAACTTCAAGAAAGCTGTCTCCTATTCAAATAGGTGTAAGGGTACCTTCCAGCATTTCAAGGGCAAAAAAAAAAAACTAATAACACATAAGTCATTTCAACTTGAAGCTTGCATCCTGAACCCTGTACATGCAATAAACATTGTGTATAGTACTAAATGTAAAAATGTGTATTGATAACAAATCAATCTGGATTTATAGTGTCAAGTGTTCAAAGCTAATATCTTGAAAGCAAGAAGTGCTTTTCCCATGCTAACCTGATGTTCCTGTGATGTCCATAGCTTTGAGATGTCTGGCCTTCATCACTACAATAGTGATGCGCTGGGCTGTGGGCTGGTAGCACAGTGATACCAGCAGCTCCCCCAGGTTATCCTGGATGGAATTGCAGCAGGTTAGAGACAGGTGCAGGCTATGCCAATCTTACCAGTTTGTAATTTGTACTTTTAGGGACCCAATCATTTGAAAACATTGTTTTTTCCAAGACAGGGAGGCAAAGAAAATGATAGAGGCAGGTAGAACTTGTCTGATACGGGTGATTTTCAATTCAAATTTCGAATCCCGGAAATGTTAGCATATCTGTTTCACACATTAGACCCCCTTTCCACAATCAACAGGGATTGTTGTGTGATAAAAACTGGATTTGTGTGAGTTTTACAATTGGAATGTAGTGCACAATGTTTAACTACAGTTCAAAAGACAACAGCAAATTCTCAAAATGTGAAAAAAATTGTTTTTATGTGTTAAATTCATTGTAGCTTTAAGCAGTTGCAACCTCTAGCAGAAAGGGGGTGTTACTTACATTAGAGTTGGGGCAGGGTCTGAGGTCCTTCCAGAATGTGGGCGACTCTGTCAGGTCCACCTCACACAGTGGTAAATGAACCTCCCCTATGGGATCATTTCTACTGAAGCGGTCGTAGTCAAACACTTGGAGGTACAACACACGGTGTTGGAGCTTGTCATATGGGAAACCTACAAAATTATTAATATGAAGAGAAAAAAGTTATCATTTTCTACAATTATCATTGTATTCACATGCTTTGCACACTTTCTCAGTCTGAATTACAACTGTATGCTAGCCTTTACAATAAAAGCATTGACATTCATTTAAAAGTATAAACGGAACGGCATTACGTTAAAACTGGATACAGATCTCTAAATGATGGTAAGACAAACATAAAGGAGAACAGCATTGGTATATTTGCAGTATGTCGACTAGCCTTCAGATGTGATTCCTAGGCAGCATTCGGTGAGGCAGCATAGGTTTATCTGTATCTTCTTTGTCATTCTTACTGTATATGTTTTACATTGACCTACCTTCAAACTGGAAGGTCTCATTCCAGTGTGGGTTCAGGTTTCGTCTCTTTACTTTGGTCTCCATCTTATTTTTCTTGTCAGGCAAGAGGCAGATTTTCACAAATGGGTCGCTGGTGCCACTGAAATCCTGTAACATCATACAGAAATATGTTCATTATGTTTACCTTTGCAGAAGGAAAACATATTGTTTTTGTTCTGTTTCTTCTTCTTCTCCAAACAAATAAGGTCAATGACCTGAACCAGATGTCTGTCAACATGGTAACTAGTGTTGGGTTACATAATGTTGCAATTTTATAGCAGGAGGGATTTAGACTCCTGTCACCATGTATGAATGTGTTTAAGAATTACCAGCAGACCATCTGCAAAGGTAAACTAATTTCTTTCTGAAAATAATAATTTATCCTAAATTTTGTAGGATGAAAAGACTCAAATATTGCTGGAATTTACTGAAGAATAACTTTTCACACTCTACTCTACAACTGGTGTGTCATGCCTAAGGATAAAGGCAGTTTACTGATTATGGATTATGCAAAACCAACCAGCCCACCTTTGCAGGCAGCTCCACAGCTCTCTTGATGTGCAGTACCAGAGTCATGGTGTCGAAGTCGTAGGACATGCTGAACTGGATCCTGCCCAGGTTAGCTGTCGGCTCACTCACAACATCCTCATTACTGTCACTGCCTTCATCTTCATGCATCTGAACAGGACATTCAAGGATTTTGTTTAGATGATTTTTACTGGCGTTTTTCACTACACAACTGCAAAAACTTTTCACCAGTACAGTCCACAGAAGAAAACTAGCCCCCTTCAAGTAGTCACTTCAAGTACAAAAAAAGGATTTACTTTTGTCAGTACAGTACTGATTCAGAAGAAAAAATACATCCTTTTTACTATTTTATGTTATTTCAGACAAGTAATTTAGATAATACTGCCCAACACTCCTACTGATAAATATTATGATCTTAAGATGATGATGACTACTAAGCAATGTTATGTTAAGTTATAATGTGGAAAACTACATTCTAAAAATTTAGATTAAGATTTATTGCCTTTGCCTGCAATTAGAATCTGGACAATAATCTATTATCCAAAATGACTCCCATGAATGATAGCTATGATCATGAAATAGGTAAGACACTGAGAATCTGATGACGCATTTCAGTATTTCAGAAAGCATCTGATTCTCAATGCTGCCACTTAATATGCAATTATGCAGGGTCTTCAGAAGACTGGGGGTTAACGAACTTTATTCAGGTGATACGAGATGCCAGTAATTCACTGCCAGGGGAGTCGTGATGCACTGAATGTACTTTGGGGGATCTAAGGAACTTGCGTGTGTTTTTAAAGCAAAATCATATTTTGTTAGATGGAGGGAAGACATTCATTTTTTTTTTTTTAAGCGAATTTAACGTCATTTTTCCCCAACCAGGGGTTAGACGTGCTTGCACCAAGTACAACTACAAGTCTTTTTTTTAAGCAAGATTTTTACGGCTCGATGCTCTTCCTAACGCCAACCCAAACCATAGTAGGGTCCAGGATCCCTCTAACTGATTAATAATATGGTAAATGTGTGAGACATTAGGTACAGGTAGTTGCTTTGTTCCTTCAACTTGTTCCTTAACCCTGAAGTAGAGATGTATGAGTGAGTACTAACTGCATATTGGTGGCAAATGCAAATTATTGGTAGGCAAATCACCCAACTATTATCACCCGCTTTTTACCTACCACTCACTGGCTATGACGTCACAGTGATCGCTTGTATAGATTTGATTTATTCTAGACCCTATAGATAATCCATTTGGCAAGAGTTAGGAAAAGAAATTCTGCCCAGAAAAACTCAATAAAACCCACAGAAAATGGTTTGCTGGAGATGAAAGATGATGACAAATTCCCAAAGGCTAAAAAAAATCAGCTTGGCAATACATGTAATTTCAATGATCAAAGTGCTTACAAAGACTTTGTACTCAAAACACAATTTTATAGCAGCATGACAAGTCATCATATGCTGGTAGACAAAAATCCAGAAAATATATGTTGAAAAAAAATTGAAAGAAATTGTTTCAGGTGGAATGGGGGAGGCATATTCCAAAATTTCAATAAAAATTTTTCCTAAAAAGCAATAAAGCAATCATCTGTGGGCATCAGGAGCTCTCCTGGAAATCGATTTTTAAAAAAATATTATACTCAAATTTTCAAACAATCTACCAATAGCATTCCCTGGAAAATTTGGTTAAACCTCCCCTATGTACTGCTGCTCAGTTAAGTGGCTGATATTTGCCTGGTAAATGTTACATTTGCACCTGCCAGGTGTGGGGAAACTGTCAGTTTGTTCTCGTCTACACTCTGTTTGTTTTATCTTCCACTGTTCCTCAGTCAGGTGCAGTGTACCAATACACCACACATACATGTATCCAGGTTTGCTCAGCACTTTAAGGTTCCTTTTTTTAGATTTGACCGCATTTGTTGACTTCCTAGGAGATTTAATACCATGCCAAAGTTTCAGGCACTGAAAATGTTTCTCCGCAATGTTGTGAAGTCCTACAGTAACTTGTATTGCTCTAGGTTATACGTCTAGTAAGTAGCAAACCAGACTGTGCGTTACATAAGTCATTAGGCTCCATTATGTATGTTCTATTATTTGTAAAACAGTATGAGATGAGTAGTAGAAAAGTGGTGGTAATGTGTACCAGTTCACCAAAGTCAGAGTTTGAAAACCATTAGTAAGCCAGCAAGCAAGCAGCCAACTACATGTAGTCAGCCAACCAACCAACCAACCAACCAACCAACCAACCAACCAACCAACCAACCAACCAACCAACCAACCAACCAACCAACCAACCAACCAACCAACCACTTGTATACTTGTAGTCAATCAATCAATCAATCAATCAATCAATCAATCAATCAACTAATCAACCAACCAACCAACCACTACATGTTAGCCAGCCAACCAATCAACCAATCATTCAACAAACTGCCCAAACAACCATTCAACCAAATAACCTCCTCAGCACTCAAAGGTTGTGGGGTCGTGTGGCGCAGTCGGTAGCGCGTTCGACTCACACCCAAGAGGTTGCGGGTTCGAATGCTGCCCGTGTCACCAATCTTGTGCCCTTGGGAAAGGCACCTTACACGACTTTTCTCACTTCACTCAGGTGGAAATGAGTACCTTGCTTCAGTTAGGGACGTCCCTCAGATAGGACGTTAAATGGAGGTTCCGTGTTTGGGGAGAGCCACACCCCACGCACGTTAAAGAACCCACCGCACTTATCGAAAAGAGTGTAGGGACCTTCCCGGTGTGAGTGGTTCAAACCTTACAGTCCGGCCTTACGCAGCTTGTACATGTACAAAACTGGTGTGTTACACCTAAAGACAGTTTACTGGTTATGCAAAACAAACAAACAATCAAACATACAGCACAACAGACCAGACCAGACCAGACCATGCAGTCCAGACCAGACCAGACCAGACCATGCAGTCCAGACCAGACCAGACCAGACCATGCAGTCCAGACCAGACCAGACCAGACCATGCAGTCCAGACCAGACCAGACCAGACCATGCAGTCCAGACCAGACCAGACCAGACCAGTCCAGACCAGACCAGACCAGTCCAGACCAGACCAGACCAGACCAGACCAGACCAGACCAGACCAGTCCAGACCAGACCAGACCAGACCATGCAGTCCAGACCAGACCAGACCAGACCAGACCAGCAGACAGAGAAGTGCACCTACTGAAGGAGAGAGTCGGAGACTGATTGACGGCATGGAGGAAGCTGACAGGTTGGACAGGGAGAAGGGCTGGACCTTGAGCGTCGTCCCGTTTTCCGACGTGTCGTCCTCCTGCCCGTCCGCGTTGGGCTGGACATTCCCGCGGAGCATCGCCTTTCCTGGCGGTCGCTCAAACCTGTAGGAATACAGAAAAAATACAACGGAGCTAAATAGTTGCGTCAACGAAGGTTAGACATCCACGTGAGATACACAAGGAAAACAATCACTCAAGCACCTGGATAGATTTTGAAAACTTCACGTTTGAAGTAGCATGCACCAGTTTTTTGTCACTCGTGTTTCCTTGTGTAGCCAAATAGTGTAAAGCAGACATTTTGTGATTGCTGTAATCATTTCTTTTATTTTCTGTATACTGATTATGTTTTATAACAGGTGGTTATGGTTATAACAAGTTGTTTTATAACAGGAAAATTTGCTACAGAAAATACAGCCGCCACCATAAAGTAATAAATTACGCTTTTTTGGGGGGGTCAGGTGTACTGAAGAAAATTGAGAGCATGGTAACCTAGGTGAAGCGTGACAACACTGTCCCTAAGCCAGCCATCCGGAATGTGGGATATCCATGTGCGTCACAGCACCTAATGTCTATAAGTCAATTCACAATTAAGTTAGCCTGACTGCTTTCAGCCCGCACACCTCAAAGAGACAGTTCATCGAGCTGTAACAAGATTTACTCTGAAGTAAAAAAACATGACCTCAGTCAGAGAGTGCAGAATGTTTACCATGGTGGGGGCCTGCATGCCCTTTTCCGTAGAGCGTAATGGGCTGTTGTAATTCTACGTAGAGCGTAATTGGCGCATTTTGCGTAGAGCGTATTCGCCATTTTAATTCTACGTAATGCATTTTAGCCACTTGGAATTTATCATAAATCATAATCGAGAGGTTTTCGAATGCAGCATAGAGTGTTGTCAGAACCCCCCATGCAAGCCCCCATGGTGGCAGGGGTCTTTCATAGGATTGACATGCTTTTTTTTTTTTTAAGAAAGCTGTAATTTGAAGGGTGATTCTTAAAGAATTGATCCATATCTTACACTGGTTTAGGACCCCTAGGCCACATTAATTTTGTTTTTGTTGTCATAATTCATATGAGTATATAGCATGAAAACCGCAGCCAAATCTTTGTATACAGATACAGTTTCAGGGAGTGGATAAAATTTTGTTCACACAAATGTAGCTAGATTCATGTTTCCTTCCTACATGTAGTACCCTGTTCTCAAAAATTAATTCCTCTTGCTTATGACATGTATGAAAATAATGACTGTAAGCAATTTCTTGGATCTAGATGTCCACTTGTTTGTTAAACTTAATTTAGGCCACACCAATTTAATTTGTTGGTTCTCGGATTCGCCTCTTCATTTTTTTCTGATTTGCAAAAAACAAAAAAAAAAGATTCTGGTTCTGAATCAACTAAAAAATGCTCATATTTTGCCCCCAACAGTTGTGGAAAGTCCTTTTCTTCCTAGCTGTTGCAGTGTTTCCATCTATCAATGCAGTGGTTTGATTAAAAGTTCAAAATTCATTGTTTAAATATTAACACAAACTTTTGTGTTAACTTCATGGCTCCTATCATAGCATTTGGGGCTATAATAGGATGCCTAAACCTGTTTTTATTTTTATTTTTTTTCGCCCTGTCGCTTCATGTCTTTTCTGACAAAATCCGAGAACCAACAAATTAAATTGGTGTGGCCTTAGTACAAAAAATGTAAAAAAAAATGAAATGATGACTTGCAATTAACATTACTGTAGACCTTCACCTTGTAAACAGAAAAACAAATAAACAAACAGACCAAAAACCTCTGTCCACAGCTACAAAACAGTTTGATATGTATACATTAAATGCAACAGGATCTCTCCCTGGTTTTGACAGTTGGAAACAAACATAATGATTTAATAGCAGGACGTAAAACGTAATGAAACCTCAGGTAGGTGGGCAACAATTATCGATTATCAGATAAGGCTACAAAACTTACATATCATATTCTTGTAAAAACAAAAAGCCTGGACAGATGAATTTATTATGCTTTTCAATATGATTTGGACACGCGGCTCTTGACTTGAGTGGAATGTTATATTTTATATGGAGCTAAGTTACTCCTTTGTCACTTTGAAATGTTGATCCCAAGTAATTACGTCAATATGGACGTAATGAACCTCTATCAACCATTGCTTGTAAGGCCACACCAATTTAATTTGTTGGTTCTTTGATTTTTTCAGAAAAAAATCTGAAGCGACAGGGCGAAAAAAAAACAGGTCTAGGCATCCTATTATAGCCCCAAATGCTTCGATTGGAGCCATGAAGTCAACACAAAAGGCTAGGTTAAGATTTAAACAACAAATTTTGAAATGTTAATGAAACCACTACATTGATAGATGGGAAAACAACAAGAAACTAGAAAAAAAAGGACTTTTCTCAACTATTGGGGGCAAAATATGAGCATTTTTGAGTTGATTCAGAAGCAGAATCTTTTTTTTTTTTGCAAGTCCAAAAAAATGAAGAGGTGAATCCAAGAACCAACAAATTAAATTGGTGTTGCCTAAATAGTCTTTGATTGATCTGTTTATCCAAAAAGCCAAATGACTTTAAAGGATAATGGATTTAACATTGTTTCCTACACAAATACACCAAATCAGTTTTGTTTTGAAAACAAACTTTTAAGTTAATCCAATTATCATAGAAAAATCAATGTTTTTCACACAAGCAGATAGACAACAGCCTCAATGGGCTATTCAAACTGCCTTGAGTCACTTTCCCTGCCCCCCCCCCAAAAAAAAACAGACTTATTCTGCTGTAACACAAAACCACCATACAACAGGGAGTAAAACACTATCAGCAATCATAAAATTGGTATCACTCGAAATAAAATGCTTTCGTGTTGAAGAAAATGCTTGAGAAAACACAACCCTTGGACAAGCCTTAGTTTCTTAAAAGAAACTCCAACAAAAGACAAGGGAAATCGTAGATTTCAAACCTCCGGGGTTTTTTTCTATTGGTTTAGGTTATTTGTTTGTGTGTAGTATGAAAGTTATGTGCGTAATATGTTTGTATGCCGGTTTGATGGCTACTGACGGTTGGTTCGGTATGGACTGTTGATTAACGCAGTGTTCGAAATACTTTTTTGAGCAAAGTAGCACAGTGTGCTACCTAGGGCAAAAACTAGGTAGCGCAGCAGAATTTTAGGTAGCGCCACGCCCCCCCCCCATTTGTACAAATACTATGCACGTGTCGTCAATACTATATTTCTTCCAATCATAGAGGTATAATACCTCCATGCTCTAATAAAGTTACTATTTTTGAGGTTTCAACTCTGAATTAGGAGCTCTGGGTCGAAGCCAAATTACGGGTGCGTGATTTATTCTGGTTTTCTACTGAGAAAAATCGGGACAGTATTTGCGCCGGGCAGCCGGCCATGTACGCGAAATGGTACGCCCAGTATAGCAGCGATCTATTCATGTTTTATGTTTACAATTGTGCAAATTTTTTTTACAGAAATTTGATCACATATGCTTAAAAATATTGTTATACTGATGTTAAAAAATATTTTAAGACACTGAATCGCTGGCTGTGATGTGCAGCAGTGTACGTACGCCGCGTAGCGTGCCAGACATTGGCCGTGCAAGCCTATAGAATGCCCCACTTGCGACATAAATTTCTGAGGCTTATCGTGCGCATCGTGCGTATCCACAATTATTCCCATCGTAAACATAGTCACTGGGATCTGAAATGCATACATACAGGATAATTTCCCTTCTTCAGCGGGAGTTTTGTTTATGTTTTGATCGTACACGTCAAACTGCCACGCTGGTCTACGCTGCGCGCTGGTCTCGGCTGCACTTCCGGGTTCCATAAATCGACACCATAAATCGACAAAGAAACAAATATTTCCCCCCAAATTTATATTAATTGTGCACTTTTTCACTAGATGTGGCTATGCAGTCCTGGAAAACAGCGTTTAGTGCATATTTTCAAACAGAAAAATCGCGTCCCCGCGCCCTTCATGTTGCCGCCCGGCGATCTCAGCTGAAGCGAACAACCAATCAGAGACGCGTAACGCGGATACGTCATGCAAGATTTGCATACCGCCCGCCCACCGCTTCTGCTGGCTGCTGCCATGCTAGCTACGCGCCGTACTTGAAATAAATTGACGTGTATCGCCGTATTTCTGGAAATAAATGCCGCGACACGAAGATCTAGCGCTGACTCGGCTTGCACCCAGCGTTCAGCGTCACCCGCGCCATTACCCGCGCCGTCATTGCTGCGCCGTCACCCAACGTTTTTATCGGAACCAGACACCCCTCTGTTTGACCCCTTTTAAATGGTAAGACCCAAAACTGAAACCTCCCCATTCCTTAACAACATGGTAAATTCCATTTTCAGCATAACGGGGGTGTCCGGAGCACTTAAAAACCTTTTATTTCGACGCCCATAAACACATATACAATTAAACAAAAACGTTCTGCATCATCTGCAGCCCAACAGCAATACGTATACCGAACAACAGACCAATCCGTCCAGCCGATCGCGAGAAACAGCTGCTGACAGAAATGTTTCGAACAATAGTAAAACCTCCTCGCGGAAGGATATCTCCTTCCCCGGAGGTAATAAGATAAAAAATTCTAGTTCTTTGTAAACATCTTAGATTCCTTGCACTCCAAATTTCAAGAAGCACCACATCTTCAGACAACCAGTCAATATGTATATCCATTGGATTTATCATTCTCTTTCATCAGAGGCATACAAAATCATTTGTAGTGTGAAAAAAGCCCAGAGATACATGATACTACATAAAATGTGTGTTTAGTGTCTATGTGGTCCTTGTCTGTACTATGGGTTTTTTCCTGAAATAAAGTCATTCATTCAAAATTCTCATCTTAGAATAGATCTGTAATATGATGTACAAAGTAACATCATAGCAACAGTGAGAGGTCACAGTGCCTTATTAAAACATCAGAACTGGCTACAGCTGGACATAACTGACCACAACCGGCAGGCCTAAAATAATTGCAGTCTAAGATGAATGTTCAGGCATACTAGCAGGGTAACTACATGTATATATGGATCTGTTGTACAATTTGACAGTCTGATACAAAAATAATAATAGTTTTTTTCACCCCAAGGACTTTATTCATAAAATCAGTTGGTAACTACTGATTTTGGAGCCTGGATATTGAATCCCTTCCTCCTTGCAATATTCTCTTTTGCAAAATGAAGATAAGGAATAATAAACATTAGTCCTAACATCTATACATGCATGAACTATAACCTGACACCTTTCCAACCATAAGCAAATCTTGCCGGGTCGGTTTATTAGAATATCCTGGTAACCTATAGTAACCTGTACATTACATGACAGCTGGCGAACGTGAGCTGTTATTTTTCTAGGACAACCAGGAACTTGTGTACGTGTAAATGTATCTCCTCAAACAACGATCAGACTCATTGAAACAACAGAACCGTAAAATTAGACCATCTACTTTAACCAAAAACTGGCTTGATGACTAAATGTCACTGGGATCTGTATCTAAAGTGTTACTGCTGAATTACCCTTACATGGGAAAATAATATGGATGGATAAGAAAGTGCCCAATTTTTTTAGACAGAAGTGCAGTATTATCTGCCATTGTATCTTGATCCATTGAGTTCATCATTTACCAAGCCCTTCTAGATGATGGAAAAGTACTTACCACGACCAGACCACATCCATGACTCCTCTAAGTCTATCTCCAACGACCAGATTTTCAAAGAGAAATTGCGAGTCCTCGTGTACATGTACGGGAGAACGCGCACACATCTACCTCGTGCCTGAACAACGTCAGGATTGATGTTGTCAGGACTTTAGCAAACCCAGAAGCGAACAAAAGCTCTGCAGACTGTCACCCACACATGCCAGGCAACACGGAATGAGATAGGAGTTGACTCAATTTGGAACGATCCATTTCATTTCTAACATAACGCGTGGGTTGCATCCTCAAGGTAGGTAAGGCATTAAAAAGAGTACCTTTGTGTTCTTAGATAGGACATTTATGTTCACCTACTTTCCGTAATTCATTATAATGCTGGAAGCAATTGACAAAAAATTGTTTTCTTTTACACCCCTGCTTATGACAACACAGTGGTATGTTCTAGCTCAGAGCTTTAATTGCTATGGCTGTTTGCTAATAATGTTGACACTCGAGTCGCCAAAAATGGTTGTAAAGAATCGGTCAAAAGTGCACACATCACTACATCGCCTCCTGCTCTAAAAGCTTTCCTTTTGTCTGTCAGACCAACAGGAGAATCACTGTTTATGTAGGAGTACAATAAGGTTTGCAGTCATGGCTACGCATGGAAGGAGGATTTCCGCCACACAGATACAATGTATCATTTATCAAAACATACAACTTGTTATGGGAACATCTTTTCCTGTGACTGTCCTGTATTTCAACAGTTTTTGCTTCCTAGAAATGCCAAACTTGAAGACAAAAGGGATTCGCACCACTTCATTATGTTCTCATTAACGAGGAAACTGTAAAAAATTAATGAAGAGGCTGTGGTCTGTAAATACTCTTAGAAACGGGGAGTGGAATTTAAATACTGTGCAATGACGTGTGAGCAGACGATGGTTGTCAGTGGAGTTGTGATTTATTGATCAGTAATGCGTATTTTCCAGTGTTATTACCTTTGCCAAGTTGGTCAGTTTGGCAGGTTTAATGTGTGATGTACAATAAATTATTGTACATTTGTATGCCTGGGTGCCATCCTCCGTAGTTACCGCCGGCTCCCTAATATTGCTGGCTACCACGGACAGTTTGTTTGCGAATAGGACAGCACAAAAAGTGATGAATTTATTTTTATGATCATGTGTACAGAAAAACTGGGTTATGTGCGTTTGTGAGGGTAGGCCCTTGTCTAAAGAAAAGCTTTAAGCTTTTCTTGAGATTTTAGCTTTAAAAAAAAAAAGGGTATAGAATTGTTGAATCCAGGAATTTTCAAGCAATGAAGCTTAAGAGTATTTTACCAACAAAATAAAAAAGTTGAAATGTAAGAAGTGAGTGTTGAAATTACATTACAAAATGTACGAGAGACGTTTTTGTTTTGAAAATGATGTGCACTCTTAGAGTTTGTCTACCATAATTACCAAATACCGGTAGCAAAAACAGGCCAGTGATATATTGTTTTTTTGTTCTATTTATTACGATATGTATTAGTGGTATCAGCTTCATATCTACAATAAACGTACAAGTACCTGACCTTCACAACTGTGTACTCCCCAGATGTATCCAAACCCACAAAAAAATAATCACCTTGAAGTTAAAAAAAGAATTTTCCAATTCGTGGTCGCAGATGTGCTTTATCCACTTCATCCATCCACTCAGTTCACACTCAAGTTACAACAAGTTGCTATACTAGTATATTGTTTTCTTTCCTAGATTATGTTCAAATGGACAAAATTGCCTCTCATTAATCTAACAGGCATGCAATATACACATACTTTAGATAGCTGAATGATTGTAGGTTCATTCACAGAGGGTTGATAAGCAGGGTAATTGAATATCCTGCAAAGGAAAATGCAAAGGTCATGGGATAGGTGAGGTACAAATTACCCCTTTTCATGTCATGGAAAGAATGAATAAAATTTATTGGTGAAATTTATGTGGTGTGCAATCAGTACAAGTAATTGGTTATTAGCTTTTCACAACTAATGAAAATTAAGTCTTCTATCTGAAGAGAAAAACACTTCAAGATGCTTACAAACGGTTCAAGCCACTCCAACATGCTGTGCAGGTTTCCTAATTGGCCATATAGTCATCCTTGTTTTCCTTAGGCCTAGGAAAAAATGTTGTGTTTCCTGTTTCATTCCTGAAAGAATTAGGGTTGGTAGGTAGAGATTATCTTTTTATTTTATTTTATTTTTTTAGGCTCCAGTGATATCTATATAGGGGTCCAACTTGTACAATATAGTTTATCAAAGTGAAACTTACATGAGGACACTTTTATTTTCAATGTCAGTGTTAGAAAACCAATTGTACAACGTTTTATCACTCAGGTGTCAGATCATGGAGCTAGAAAAGGTTGATCAGCTCGAAACATTAATACTTATGTCCTTTGCAAGGGTTCACCCTCAAAAAAGTCTAGGGTCAGTCGGGAAACAGGAAACACAACATTTTTTCCTAGGCCCTAGTGTAAAACAGCAAGAAAACCCTGCGCAGGTGGCACACCAGCTTCCGTCTTTGATTGTAATCTCACTTCCATTAGCATCATGACTAAACACTTGGTTATAAATCCACAGATATCAAACAGTTGCAGGTAGCAATGGGAATAAAACCCTAAACCTCTGATCTGGAATCAGTAGAGATTAATATAGGGTTTGGTATGGATTACAAAATGGTTCTTCCAAAGGAAATATTCAATGTTGAGAAATACAACATTTCGTGTTCTGATTTTAAAATCTTTACATCAGGTAGATTCTTAATATTTCTGGATATACGTTTTTGCTACAGGTAACTGCGCAAGCCCACATATATCCTGAACTCAAGTTACGATCTAGATGGTGAACCCAAGTTACTCCGATGTTGACCTTAGGTAATACATTAGCCTAATGCATATTCTATACTATTTCTATCAGAACATAACAGGAAGTACACTTGATATGAGCAGCTACTGGCAGATGGTCAGGTCGACTACGCTGGGGCGGAGTAAAATCAATGTTTCCTTAGAATCAATTTTGTACAAACAAGGATTCCCAGATATGTCACAACCAAATTGGCAGCAATTTTGCTAAATTACATTATATATTATAGTATTAATTGCTGAAAATCTTTCTTATCTCTAAACATGCAACATTTTGGCCAGAAAATGTCGCAATCATGAAATATCAAATGAAGAAATGGCAACAAAATATAGTCTCAGAATAAAAGTTCATTTGTGTTGGTAGATGATGACAACATTCTGCTAGTGTCACATGACTGACAGGTTACATTTCTGTATTTCTGTCAGAATTTCTGATGAAGGCCAAAGAGTCACGACAGATAGAAATGCTGTATTTTATCGGGGCAGATGTGCATGTAAACTAACCAGCATATGTTATTCTTTGACTTGATGGCAAGCTTGTATTCTTTTAGCTTGCCAAATTGTTCCTTTTTGTCTTTTTTTTTTTCAAATTGCATCTGCAGGTTGGTACTTGTATTTCGGACCCTGTTCTGGCGTCAGGTGAAAAAGACTCCTCCAAACTTACTTGATAGTTTTTCTGGTGATGAGGTTGGACTGGTGGAACGCTCCGCCCTTCTCCGATGTTTCATCGTCCCTCTCCAGTTCTGTGTAACTGTCCCGCCGCTGACACCACTGGCACAGCGAGCAGAGGGCAAGGGTCATCACCATGGTAACCAGGCTGGCCGCAGCAACCACAACTGGCAGCAGTGCTGGAAAAAGCAGAGACAAGAATGTAAATGTCTGTTTTCATAAAACTCTGAAACTTTATTCGATTTGACTTGCTGAAATTGCAACTGTACAATACACATGGGATGCAGGCAGCTGTTGCTAATGTTGTGTCCCACACATAGAAACTCATTTTCACTTGACTTAAGTGGGGAAAGTCGTGTTAAGTGCCTTTCCGAAGGGCACAAGATTGATGGCATGTCAGGACTCAAACCCGGGACCTCTTGGTTCCAAGTCGAGCAAACTGTCATTGCTTTATGATCTTTTTCTCAACAATTGAATAATGAACGACCTTCCTTTTACACATGTTGATGTGTAGGTTGACTACATTTCTGTATTTCAAATCAGTGCATCAGAACTACCCTTTTGATTTTGAAAAAGAGCATATGCTTCACCATAGAACGACAAAAGAGGAGAAGACATTTTTAGAAGATGAATAGATATCTTTCGTGGAAAACTCTATTCCTAAGCATTAATTCATTATCTTCAAAGTTGGAACTCCAATTCCAACACAAAAAGAAATCAGTGCACCGAATTTCCAGTATACTGTGGCAGTTTTTCCCTTCTGTATCTTGTCTATATAATGAAAGAAATGCACAGTAGGCCTCTCTCTGGCCTGACTAACTATGCTGTCAATCATGAGCCGTGACATCTAAGTAATTGGCAATCACTTGCTGATAACCATCTGTATAAAACATGTCAGTGGGGGCTTCAATACCTGCTGGGTCCATTTAGATATAAATAGATAGTAGAACAGCCAACAAGGGTTTGAATGACAGGTACAACATTTGCTATGAATCAAGGCACCCACGCATTGTGGATAGGTGTATACCTTTCAATCTGCTGCCTTTCTGTTCAAAAGAAGAATGAATTTCGAAGACCCACAATCAGTTTTTTTTAAAGTGCTATGGAGGCGTGATACTTTTATGTGCTCTTCATTTGAAATTAAACCCTCCTGAATTCCAATCTACCCTCAGAAATTGATACAATAAACTTTATAATGGATGAAGATACAAATTTTCTGGGTTATAAATAGGGATTGGTAATAGCATACTACATCACATGCCACTTCCCACGCATGCACGAGGTACATGCGCAACTTTCCACATGTGCACATGCAGAACAATACAGGTTTATTTTTCTTGTCTTTTTGCCACTGTACATGTCCTGTTCATCATATGTATACATTGTACCATATACAATTGCTGTGCGCTAAACTTTATGTTTTATCTATCTAGCCCAGTGTTCTCGCTAGCCTGAATTTTTTTCCTTCATCTCAAATTTCTTTCACATAATAATCCTCTCCTTGGAAAATTTCAGGCATGCTCCCCTTGGAAAATCTAAAACCTTAACCCTCTGAAACACTATAGCTTTTTCTGCATTTTGAGGGGCAAATTTTGCTGGTAGACTTGAGCTTAGTTTAATAACATATATTTGCATGCCAATTTTTGTCACTGATGATGAGGATCAGCCAACAAATGACAGAAAGGTGGATACTGGCTGGAAAACTAATCAATAGCCTGATACTGTAGTCTTCAAATCTGTATCAGACTTCCTGCTTCCCATCCCAACAGCCCACATGAACTTTTCACTTCTATTTTGAATATCAAGTAGCCCCATTTTCGGAGCCAAGTACATGTATATAAAGAGCTGAAACGTGTGTACTCTAAGTCTGAAGGTAGTGGTATAATCCTCCACACACCAGACTGGATAGCTTAGAAAGGTCAACTTATACCAGGCTATGGGGCTGATGCAATTTTGTTCTTCATATAAGGTTCCTAAGGTTGCTAAAGCTTTACATCAAAAGTAGTACAACAAAGCCAAAAAAAATCTAATTTTTCAACCTTTCGTAAAGTTTTATATCTAATTTCACCCAAAGAAAATTTCCTATCACTGTTCTAACCAGCTACTAGTTGATATGCTGTTTCATACTGTCATAAACTGAGTACATGCCAAAGTACAAAAATGTACTGCCATCCAAAATCAAACATTCAGATTGTATGTTTACCCTTCATTGGAAAGTCGTGATCAACATGTAGCTATAGATTAGGGCAAGATCAATATATCATATTCTCCATGCGAATATGGTACCCGGTATTGTGAGCTATTTAAATCTATTGTCTGATATCTCTTATAGAAAAGATAAAGCATGTAATATCTTGTATTTCAGATGAACAAAAACTTGTCATGCAAGTTTGAATCTTACATGGTTCTGCAAATTCTTGATGGCTGAGATTCCACAACTTCAGAAACAGAAGAAGCACTTGAAGATTGTTTTCACCTGTGCTTTAAACCATTTCCTTACTCAAGTCTTGAGGAAGAAAGACTGTGTATTTCTTGTTGCCACACCATTCAACCATCACATGCAATGTAGACACTATACATACCAGTAGAGGCACGCCTCATGACAAAAACAGACCAGGAAACGTACCTGACATTGCCATTATTGACAAGTAGTTGTCCAATAGTTTCTCATACCGTATCAAGACTCACAAAGTCTAGACTACGAAAATGATTGTTCAGATTAACTTAACCTAGTCAATGTCACATAGTAAGAATACCTGAATTCAATGCATTTCCTTTCTGCAGGAGATAACATCATTGCACTTTTGTCCATTGCAATGTAAGGAAAATGTCTGAGGAAAATGATACTGAGGAAGACAAAATACTTACCGAATTCAGCAGACCCAAGCATATCCTACCATTCCTAAGCAATGTCGACAAGGAAATGTCGACTTTACCCTTTCCTTAAGGCCAAGACCTTTCTTAGATGCCTTCTCACGAAGCACGAGATCCTGCACGACCTTCAAACAATCATAGCTCAAAGGTTATGATCAGACTTGATCTTCGCAGAGTTCAGAGGTTAGTTTTGACGACCGTAGGACTAAACTTCTTATTGGAAGGCACACGTTTGCCATGTGGTGAGAATTATTCCTGGTCCAACCAAACGTGTTGTGAAAAGGTTAGCTGAGTCGTGACCGACGTAACAAAGGGTGGGATGACGACGTGAGGTGTGCCCAAAGGCCCTTGTATGTTTTTAGGGAGGGCGCAACAGGAGGAATGTTGTTTTGGTAAACAGAAGCAACAGAGCATGTCCAGCACATCTGACGCTGACCAGTAATGTCAAAAACATCTGCCTGAGTCACATGGGATTATATTTTGTCTCTAAGCCAACCAATGAAAGATAAGTCTCTATGAGAAGTTAATTGGAAAGACAACAGCATTGTAGAATCTAGTAATTTTGGCTAGCCTACATGTATGTGATATTTTCATACCTTGACTTTTGAATATCTACATTGGGAAAAATCGGCATTAATTGTTGAGTTTCTAAGCTACTGTATGAAAACATACAGTATAATATATAGTAAAACATACACATAAAAACATGACCTGAAAGGTTTAAGTAAGTATGATCAGAAGAAAATTTCAAACTACACTTACTTGAGTCTGAAGAAAATGCAGACATTTCACTCTGGTACATTTCCTTTTATTTCTTATACAAATGGAAAAATCTACACATCTTACAGAGCATGAAAGAGTGTGTCATCTACTTGCTAGTACAGGTTAACTTACTACAACATATACTTCCTGGAAGTGTTTCCTCTCAAGTTTTCCAGAAATCATGACTTCCTGTGAACAATGTCAAGGTGTGGCACCCAGTAGGAACTTGGAGTGGTGCCAAGTATTAAAGTACAAAATTACAATAAGCATAAAAGGCCCTATGTAACAGGTGGTCATATAATAAAAAGAACCATTTCAAACTGTATAATTTATCAAAACAACTTTACCACATACAAAGACTATCATCAATGTTAGCAGAATTTTATATTTCACCTGTGTTCCTAAATATAACAAGTACCCAGAAAATGTGAAAGGCTAAGAATGCTATATATAATAGATGACAGTTCTTTTATGCACATATAATCTAGTAAAGAAAACAAAGACTATTCAGAAGTCATGAACTCCAGTTTTTCTGGGGAAGACACTTTGTGTTTGTCACATGTCTTAAACTTTGGGAAAACACATGACAGTCACTCCCAGTCACATTCTATACACTTTTGTCATGGTTGTCATAGAAATCGCAGAACAAACTCAAGTTGCAGACCACATGATGTCCAGTCCATTTCTTTTTTTGATGAAAGTCAAAAGTGGCCAAACAATCCAACTTAACTTTTCAGATTCCCTAAATGGCAATGGTATTTACAATGAATTAAGGAATGAATGCCATGCCAGTTCCCAATCACAGGATAACTTCTGTTGTCTGGTTGTGTTGATATTTGAGAAAACTGACCTGACAAGAAAATGTAAAGCCTTGAATACTGTTATTTCTTCCAAATAAAATGTGAAACAATTAGAGTTAAAGTTTTTAGATCCACGTAATGTTCTTGTTGCATGATTGTGTTCCATGAAATACAGTACCAGTAGTATTAAAGGGCAGAGTGTTAAGGTTTTATTTACAGCACTAAGGCCACACCAATTTAATTTGTTGTTTCTCGGATTTGCCCTGTCCAATTTTTTCTGATTTGCAAAAAAAAAAAAAAATTAGGTTCTGAATCAACGGCAAAATGCTCAAGGAAAAACATATTTTGGCCCCAACGGTTGAAGTTCAAAATCTACAGTTTTAATTATAAACCAGCCTGGTATGTTGACTTCATGGCTCATAATATCATATCATAACATTTCTGGCCTTCATGGGGTGCCCTGGCCTGTTTTTTTTTACCTATTTCACCCTGTCACTTCATATTTTTTCTGGGAAAATTCAAGAAACAACATACTAAATTGGTATGGCCTAACAGGGACAAATCTCTAGTGTCTGTGCCCCTCCCTGTGAACCATTAAAACATCATTTGGCTAAGCCTTTTTATTGGAGGGATTAACAGATAGAAGAAGAAACTCCCTGGGGGAGGAAACCCTACACTGTAGTACACACTTCACACTTACTCAATAAACACTGTTATGTGTTACAGTGATTATGGAGTTGATAGTATTGTTGGTTGCCTTTGTTCCCATGTATAAGCAAGGTTTGCAGTAAACAAGTCATACATCATGAGCAAAAGCTCAATAATCTATTAAAAGCTATTTTTGCTGTTCAGGCTATCTATCTAAACTATGAAAAGCCATACTTTTCTACCTATTCTATCAGATTCCATCCAGGGTTTTTGTAGCTGCAGGTTTCTCTAATGTAGTCTCCACCAGACTCTTTTGCAGCCTGAATATGTAGTAGAAATCAGCCTAAAATTTTAAAAAGAATGTAGCTGGCCAAGGGGAGCCAGCTGGCCATAGAGGGTCCAATTTGTCTAAAGTGTCTGAACCTGCAGTCAAATCATTATCCAAGGCTAAAGGAAAATACAGCTATAGATCGAGGCATTCAAAGCAAATGGCTCTTACATGTAAGCATCAAAACTAGTACATGTAGTACATGTATATCTCATCAGGTGTTCATGGTATTTATTTGTTTTATTCTGTTTATGTATTTCACTCTACAGATTGTCATCAGCAACAACAGTCTGGAGTATTACATTAATAAATCACTTTCTGCCACTCCAAAGTTTCTTTACCTCAGCTTTTAGAAAAGTACATTATTCTAACAAACAATGTATGTATGTTGAAATATAAAAGTTTGTACTGTTGTCAATAGTGCTGTTTTCACAAGGTCAAGTTCAAGAAAAATTTCAGAAACAAGAATATCTCTGAAGTGGCCTCAACAATAAGCCACTACATAACTCTGGCCTTTAGCGACCTTGTCAATGGTTAACCTTAACCTATATGCTAAGCACACACAAATGCCAAAAATAACAATTTAACCTCCAGCATATTCCCTTTCCATTAGTAAAATAAACGGTACATTTTGCAGTAATGGGCTATTATATTAGTACAAACTGGCTTTAACCTGCCATCTGTTGGTAAAGTAAACAGTTTTTACCCTAGCAAGTGAGAGAATATCCAAGAGCTTTCTGTTTTAGCAGCCTGCAATGACAGGGGTGCCAGAGTATACAGTGCAATTTTACGGAATACAGAGCAATTTTACTAGTAAACAGTGCAATTTTACTAGTAAACAGTGCAATTTTACGGAATACATGTACAGTGCAATCGTATTAGTATACAGTGCAATTTTACGGAATACAGTGCAATTTTACTAGTGACGTCCGCAATCTTGAAACTAAAGGGAAAGCAGGGAAAGCTGGGTCCAAGTCAGATGGTTAAAATCACTAGTAAAATTGCACTGTATCCCGTAAAATTGCACTTTAGGCCACACCAATTTAATTTGTTGGTTCTCGGATTCGCCTCTTCGTTTTTTTCTGATTTGCAAAAAAAAAAAAATATGATTCTGGTTCTGCATCAACTGAAAAATGCTCATATTTTGCCCCCCAACAGTTGAGGAAAGTCCTTTTCTTCCTAGTTGTTACAGTTTTCCCATCTATCATTGCAGTGGTTTGATTAAAAGTTCAAAATTCAATGTTTAAATTTCAACCCAGCCTTTTGTGTTGACTTCATGGCTCATTTCGTAGCATTTAAGCCTATAATAGGATGCCAAGACCTGTTTTTATTTGTATTTTTTTTCGCCCTGTCGCTTCATATTTTTTCTGAAAAAATCCGAGAACCAACAAATTAAATTGGTGTGGCCTTATTCCGTAAAATTGCACTGTATCCTCTGGCACCCCTGAATGTGCTGATTTACCGTGAAATGGTAATTTGTCAAACAGTAGCAGTACAGGGGATAGAAATTACTCTTGGGAATATTGGGAAAGTCCCTTGTCAAATTTAAAGGGTACAGGCATGCCACCTCCTGGTGTGATTTGAACCAGCTCTAATCTTTCACACATTAGACACGCCACTTGTCTGTGTAGATTTGAAGGCAGTATTTTCTATCTGTTGTTAGCAACAAGATGACTGATACATGATGCTAAGGATAAATCCTTTTCTTCCTGCATAGTCATTAGAATTCCCAGAACAACTCCTTACTGAAGTACCTAAATGCCAGTCCTTTAAGCTTTAGGCCACAAAAAATTAATTTGTTGGTTCTCGAGTTTTTTTCAGAAAAAAAAGAAGTGACAGGGAAAAAAACAAGCCTAGGCATCCTATGATTGTAAAATAAGCCCCGAATGCTACAATAGGAGCCATGAAGTCAACATGCCAGGCTGGTTGAACTTTTCATCAAACCATTGCATTGATAGATGGAAGAACTGTAATAGCTAGCAAGACAAGGACTTTCTTCAAACCAAAATTTGAGCATTTTGGAGTTGGAGTTTTTTTTTTCAAATCAGAAAAAATGAAGTGGGCGAATCCAAGAACTAATTGATTAAATTGTTTTGGCCTTACTACGCTCTCGGTCATTTCCCTACTAAGTCATAAAGTCATTTCCAAGAAAGACCTTTAAATTTACCATCAGAAGAGCTGACAGTTAACTGATCTTTTTTTAGCCCTCTCCACACACTGCAAAGTTCAGATTCTTTTATGGGAAAACAAGAAGAAAGGAGATACCAGTACCAAATGTCAGAGTGCTATATGCCCAGGTGCTAAGCAGACTGACAGACAATTGCCATATTATTTTTAAACCCTTTGTCACTTAGGAAAGTTCAAGTTGCTTTTATAGCACTTCAAGAAGACTTTAACTCTATTAGCCAGCTGCTCCGCTTTTACTCATAATCTGACCTTGTAAAAGGGCTCACCTTCAGGACATGCCAAATTGATTTCTTTGGTTCTTGGTCTTTCTGAGGAAAATTTGGCATCATCTTGGAGACTATAATTAAAACAGAGGGCTGAAAATGAAAAACCTTGTATCTGACTCCTCTGAAACTGTGTTCCAAGGCATAATGAGCATGTTCTCCCTATAGACTTTGCTTTTGTAACACTGTAATAATTTAGCATTATCTTTTCAATTGAAGAACCAAAAGATTTAGATTGGGATGGCCTGAACTATAAGCTTTAAAACCCAATGTTACCTGGTACTCATAATATGATCAAGAAACATGTGAACCTTTACAAAGACTTATTGCATTTGCCTTACTTTCCTGCTTGTGTTTTTCCAAGGAAACAGTACACAAAAACAGACAGGTGAATCACCGATCTCGTTAATGGAGCATCCAAGGGAAA